CAGCCGTTCCGAACACACACTACGACATACAACCCCTGACGATCCAGCGCGGGTCGGGGTGCTCGGGCTGTAAAATAAGAGGTCGCGCACAAGGGGGAGGGAAGGCCATTTGGTGAGAGAGTAAGCGGAAACGGGAGGGAACAGACATCACCATGGCCCCGCCCATCTCTCAATGCCCGTCTACCTGGGGGGCCGCGACGCATGCACGCCCCGCACCCCCCGCGCGCACCAAAGAGACCTCGAGCGGGGGGCTGAACGGGTTGAAGATGGTGCCCCAGTGGTTGGTGAACAAAAATTGAGGATTTTAGGGGTTCTGGAAGACTTTTTCGACATTAAAAACCGGGAGGGGGCGGTTTTAAATTCAGAAAGGGCAAAAACCCAATTGTACACGCTATGTAATTATCATCTATCTTCCGGTTAAACGCACTTAAATTAATATACTGTAAATACATAGGAACATAAAATGAAAATAAAACAAAAAGAGGCAAATTTTTGAACGGGATTTCAAAGTTTTTGAATTCTCTAGGTTTTGCAACATTTTAAAATTTATTTTAAATTCAGATTTTATTAAATTGTTTAATTCATGTCATTTTAAGCAATTTTTATGGCATTATTTATTAACACTCGTCATATTACGATACTTTTCAAGATTATTTGAGCTGTTTAACGCGGTTTTTTGGTTTTGAGCCTGTTTTCCTTCTTTTTAGGGATTTTTCTAAGCCGTTTTAAGATTAAATTAGAGATTATAGGTTGGTAGTTACCCTAATATGACCTCAATATTCCCCACAGGGCCCCCTTAGATCGGCTGTTTATTGGTTAATGGGTAAATAGAAGCTTATCAAAGCGCTCCGGCTTGTCTGGTCGAGTGAGGGAGGCGGCTTTAGCCTTTATGAGGCGTAAGCTAGCAGAGATCCTTTAAGAAGTGGAGGTCAGGCTAGACGAGGTCATTGAGGAAGCAAGGGCAGGCTAGCAGAGATCAGTGAGGAAAGGTGGGCAGGCTAGCAGAGATCATTGAGGAAACGAGAGCAGGCTAGCAGTGATCCTTTAGTGGCGAGGACAGGCTAGCAGAGATCAGTAAGGAAAGGTGGGCAGGCTAGCAGAGATCATTGAGGAAGCCATGTCGGACTTGCAAAGATTATTCAGGAAAAGAGGGCAGGCTGGCAGTGATCATTTGCGGAATCGGGATGGAAATTCGAGTTTTCGACGACAATTTTGCTTGTTCAACTTCTCTATTTCATTCGAACAACCCCAGTTCGACCCCGCGCGACCGCAATCTTTTTGCTTTTTGGCCCAATCCTAGCAGGTGGCCGTCTGGTCCCTTTTCGGGCGCTTTCGGGGGCCTCCAGCATCCCACAAAGACGTGGTTGATGATTGGGGTGGAAGGGGTAGTAGATGGAGGGGGCAACCGGAGGGTTCATCTCCACGGCAACCCCATAAGGGTTGTGGGTTAGAGACCTTTGAAGGGGGGGAGGGGTGTTGCCATCCTGTTCAACCGCCCGTGACATCCGCTTCGGGGGTGCTTTAGGGCCTTCGTTGGGGCTAGGACCCCGCCGAAAATGGGTGCCTACCGGGGGGTGGCCCCCAATTGACGGGTGCCCACCTGGGCCTGGGCCCGGCTTCCAGGTGCCCAGGCGGGTCAAGGCTTGGGTGTAGCGTTTCTTAGGGGTTGAGGATAAGGCCAAGCTTAAGAATAAACGAAAAGTTAAGCCTAAGCCTATGTCTACCGAAGCCTAAGCATAACCTAAGCCTAAGATTAAGCCAAGCCTAAACCGAAGCCTAACCTTAAGCCAAGCCTAAGCCTAAGCCTAATCTAAGCCAAGCAGAGCCAAGCCTAAGGCAAGCCTAAACCAAACCCGCGTAAGCCTAAGCCTAGCCCCGAGCCTAACCCTATTTTGCGATTTTAAAGGGCCATTGAAGGCAAATCCACAGCAAAATTTCAAAGCTAGACAGTACTAACCCCGTTGGCCATCGTTAGCTCCATATTTCTGGCCTTTTTATGGCTGACGAAAGAGAGAGAGAGAGAGAGAGAGAGAGAGAGAGAGAGAGAGAGAGAGAGCGAGCGAGAGAGAGAGGGAGCGAGAGAAGGAGAGAAAGAGCGAGAGATGAGGCACAGTAACCCCTGCATAATTGCACAAAATCCGGTGGGGTGCGAAAAGCGCGCAGTTTAAGGGACGTGCGCCCGAAAAACCGTAAAACGTGCAAAAGGCGCGGGGGATCGAGGGTGAGCTTTTTCAACTATTGGCATCGGCCATCATTATGCGGGTATCTGGCGATGAGTGGGCGGCTTATTCATCGCGTCTAGCCAGGTGGAAAACAGATTAAAAAGTGTGGGACTAGAGCGTGTTTTAGACAAAATTCTGGCGGCACACTTTTGTTTTTGGGTGTAGGCTTGGGCTTAGGCTTATATTTAGGCTTAGGCTGAGGTTTAGGTTTGGCTTAGGTATGCTTAGCTTAGTTTTAGGCTTAGGCTTAGGCTTGGGCTTAGCTTTAGGCTTGGCTTCCGCCTAACTTTATCGTCTCTGTAAAAGTACATTCCCTCTAGCTGCCCTACGGCTATGAAGTGGCACACAACATATGGGGAGGGCTATCGAGGCGGACATGAGCCCCTATAAAATGCACCCATCAAAAGTCGCTCTCCCCCAGCCGACGGGCCAAGGGTTTTGAAATTTGTACCAGGTGTAGCGTCGCGGAATCGGCTCGCAGCAGAACTCAATGTTGTTCAAGAAAGTGGTAAAAGTTGAGGCTAAAGGGAGAGAGCTATCAGAGAGAGAGAGAGAGTGAGAGATAGAGTGAGAGTGAGAGAGAGCGACAGAGAGAGCCTGAGCGAGAGCGAGAGCAAGAGAGAAATAGAGAGATAAATACAGAGAGAGCGACAGAGAGAGAGAGAGAGAGAGAGAGAGTGAGAGATAGATATAACAAAGATGAAACAGCAGAGCTCAATGTTGTCCTAGAAAATGGTAAAAATTTGGACTAACGTGAGACTGACATCCGCGCGAGAGAGAGAGAGAGAGAGAGAGAGAGAGAGAGAGATGAGAGAGAGAAAGAGAGAGAAAGAGAGAGCGCGAGAGAGAGGGAGAAATAGGGCGCGAGAGAGAAAGAGAGAGAAAGAGAGAGAAATAAAGAAAGAGCGAGAGAGAGAGCGAGGGGGGGAATAGGGCGAGAGAGAGAAAGAGAGAGAAAGAGCGGGAGAAAGAGAGAGCGACAGACGTAAAAAATGTTTTTAAACGGATTACGGTAGCAGGTCCACAAAATTTCTAAAAATGTTTGCCCGATCGCCCCGGCGGGTTTCCGACTACACCGGGCACTTTTTAGCCGGAAATCCCGCATTTCCGGTGGGCATTCCATTTGGGGAAGCCATTAGAGTCCCGGATTCAAGGTGTCCTAAAGGAACTTTGAATGATGCGATTTGAGCATTTGAGCCCGAGAACCGATAGCAAAGTCAGCCTTCCCGGGCCCTGTAAACCCGAGAAAACACGGCCAGAATGTGCCTTGCCAGCCCCCTTTAAACCCCAGAATCCACAGCCAATCTTTGCCGGCTGGTCCCTTAAAACCACAGAATGCGCAGCAGAATCTCTGCCTTGCCAGCCCCTTTAAACCCCGCCCAGCATCCGGTTGTCAGCAGTGCCAATCTGACAGGATTGTAGGATGTGTGTCTGTGTGGGCTGATGGTGGAGATGGCCTAAATATGGGATATGCATGGGGATGCGCTCGAATGTGCCCTCCTGCCCCCCTACGGAACACTCCGCTATGCACAGCCACACGCATTCAAAACCAGCCCCACCCCCCTGGCTATGGATGGACAAAGTCAGCCCCATTAAAGCCATGTGGCCAATGTTTGGTGGGGGAGGGGGTACTGTAGTGATGAGTTGATACGATGGAAGCCGATTTCGGAAAATGGGGAAGATGGCTTCGTTACGTCTGGGATGGAAGCCGGAAAGTTGGGAGGTTGGGAGGATTATCTTGGAACGGAAGCCATAGGGGAGGGAGAGAGAGATAGAAAACGAGAGAGAGAGAGAGAGAGAGCGAGGGAGCTAGAGGTGAGAGAGATACCTGGAGTGAGAGATAAATAGTGAGATCGAGAAACAAAGAGCCAAAGCGAGCATATGATATAAGGAGAGAGTGAGGGAGAGATATATACGGAGAGTGGCAGAGCGAGCGACGGAGAGAGAGAGAGAAAGAGAGAGAGAGAGAGAGAGCGAGAGAATCAGAGAAAATCCTAAGGATTGAGAGAGTTGGAGGAAAAAAGATATTGTAAAGAGAGAAATCGAGCGATCCGGAGGAGACAATGAAGCCCAACCCATCAAGTGTGTATTGTGTATAGGGATTTCCCCACGCACCATATCAATAAGGTGAAGACGATAATCCGGATGGGCTGAGGTAGTCCATCTCTCTCACTCTCGTTCTCTCTCTCTCTCTCTCTATCTCTCTCTCTCTCTTCCAGTTGCCGGGGGTTACATGCCATGAATAAGTCAAAACGGGGGGCAACGGATTCTCGCCCCTCAACCTAAATGAGGGGATTTCCGGGCAAATATCCGGCCGGTAGAGATAGACATCACCTGACGGGGGATATTTTCAAAAATAGCTTGGCCCTATGAAAATATAGAAAAAAGTTGGAAAAAGGCTACAAAAATAGTAAAACTTGAGAAAGCATCGCTAGAGGTGCCGTTCATAGCAGTGCCATGTAGCCGCTACAGTTACTTTCTCGGAACGATGATTTCCAGGTGGTAAATGTAACAACAAACTAATGAACTTTTTAATGACAACACCAATTCAGAAAGCGTATCATTAAAATGAAATTTAAGAATAAATTTCTGATGTAATATAAGAAAAATATAAGAATGAAATTTAATTTAAAAATCAAATGCAGAATCGGTTCAAAAATTGCCTTGAAAATAAAGATTTACATAGATTAATTACAATCTGGTTTGGCCGTAAAGCATTCGCCAAGAAGGGCAAAGATAAGCCACACCGAGTGACGACCGTCCTCTCATCCGGCGACCATGGGCAAGCCCGGCACTCGTCGGCAGACGAAGAAGCCAAAGTAGCGTTTTTTCAAGCCCTTTTTGGCAGCGTACTCCTTCTCTACCAATCTATTAATTGAAGAAGCTTCAGAGTGGATGCCGGCGAGCAGACCGAGGCGGACACGGCCAAAGAAAAGAAGCCGCAACAACCCCGTGCACAGTCGACCGGGGCCGCCGACAAGTCGCGCCATCGCGCCACCAAGGTCCCATCCGAGGGCCCGGCCACCGGACGCACCGCGTCCGAACACGCAGACCCGAACAGCGAGGACGAGACGCAGAAGCAGAAGCGGAACCAGAGCGTTCGCGCTCAAAAGAAGGTGCTATTTCCGGTGTCTGAAACTGGCGTAAAACAACTTACAGCCAAAAATTTCTTAGGCTTTTTTGTTTGTTTTTAAGGAAAATATAAATCACGAAGCTGCTTCTAGACTGTTTTGTGCTATTTCTAAACGTAAAAACTTTACAAACTTTTATTAAGAACCAGCGCCCAAAACCCGCTTCGCGGGCCTTGGGCGCTGGGATGCTGCCTTTGCATGAAAAATTTGACTTCCCGATAGCTCGGGTCCTTCGGACCTCTTCCCCCCACCGACCACACACGCGAGTGCAACTGGCAAGAATGAGGAAATTTGAAAATATTTAATATATATAATTTTGAAAATGAGGAAAATAAATATGGGGAGGGCTATCGAGGCGGACATGAGCCCCTATAAAATGCACCCATCAAAAGTCGCTCTCCCCCAGCCGACGGGCCAAGGGTTTTGAAATTTGTACCAGGTGTAGCGTCGCGGAATCGGCTCGCAGCAGAACTCAATGTTGTTCAAGAAAGTGGTAAAAGTTGAGGCTAAAGGGAGAGAGCTATCAGAGAGAGAGAGAGAGAGTGAGAGATAGAGTGAGAGTGAGAGAGAGCGACAGAGAGAGCCTGAGCGAGAGCGAGAGCAAGAGAGAAATAGAGAGATAAATACAGAGAGAGCGACAGAGAGAGAGAGAGAGAGAGAGTGAGAGATAGATATAACAAAGATGAAACAGCAGAGCTCAATGTTGTCCTAGAAAATGGTAAAAATTTGGACTAACGTGAGACTGACATCCGCGCGAGAGAGAGAGAGAGAGAGAGAGAGAGAGAGAGAGAGAGAGAGAGAGAAAGAGAAGAGAAAGAGAGAGCGCGAGAGAGAGGGAGAAATAGGGCGCGAGAGAGAAAGAGAGAGAAAGAGAGAGAAATAAAGAAAGAGCGAGAGAGAGAGCGAGGGGGGGAATAGGGCGAGAGAGAGAAAGAGAGAGAAAGAGCGGGAGAAAGAGAGAGCGACAGACGTAAAAAATGTTTTTAAACGGATTACGGTAGCAGGTCCACAAAATTTCTAAAAATGTTTGCCCGATCGCCCCGGCGGGTTTCCGACTACACCGGGCACTTTTTAGCCGGAAATCCCGCATTTCCGGTGGGCATTCCATTTGGGGAAGCCATTAGAGTCCCGGATTCAAGGTGTCCTAAAGGAACTTTGAATGATGCGATTTGAGCATTTGAGCCCGAGAACCGATAGCAAAAGTCAGCCTTCCCGGGCCCTGTAAACCCGAGAAAACACGGCCAGAATGTGCCTTGCCAGCCCCCTTTAAACCCCAGAATCCACAGCCAATCTTTGCCGGCTGGTCCCTTAAAACCACAGAATGCGCAGCAGAATCTCTGCCTTGCCAGCCCCTTTAAACCCCGCCCAGCATCCGGTTGTCAGCAGTGCCAATCTGACAGGATTGTAGGATGTGTGTCTGTGTGGGCTGATGGTGGAGATGGCCTAAATATGGGATATGCATGGGGATGCGCTCGAATGTGCCCTCCTGCCCCCCTACGGAACACTCCGCTATGCACAGCCACACGCATTCAAAACCAGCCCCACCCCCCTGGCTATGGATGGACAAAGTCAGCCCCATTAAAGCCATGTGGCCAATGTTTGGTGGGGGAGGGGGTACTGTAGTGATGAGTTGATACGATGGAAGCCGATTTCGGAAAATGGGGAAGATGGCTTCGTTACGTCTGGGATGGAAGCCGGAAAGTTGGGAGGTTGGGAGGATTATCTTGGAACGGAAGCCATAGGGGGAGGGAGAGAGATAGAAAACGAGAGAGAGAGAGAGAGAGGCGAGGGAGCTAGAGGTGAGAGAGATACCTGGAGTGAGAGATAAATAGTGAGATCGAGAAACAAAGAGCCAAAGCGAGCATATGATATAAGGAGAGAGTGAGGGAGAGATATATACGGAGAGTGGCAGAGCGAGCGACGGAGAGAGAGAGAAAGAGAGAGAGAGAGAGAGAGCGAGAGAATCAGAGAAAATCCTAAGGATTGAGAGAGTTGGAGGAAAAAAGATATTGTAAAGAGAGAAATCGAGCGATCCGGAGGAGACAATGAAGCCCAACCCATCAAGTGTGTATTGTGTATAGGGATTTCCCCACGCACCATATCAATAAGGTGAAGACGATAATCCGGATGGGCTGAGGTAGTCCATCTCTCTCACTCTCGTTCTCTCTCTCTCTCTCTCTCTCTCTCTCTCTTCCAGTTGCCGGGGTTACATGCCATGAATAAGTCAAAACGGGGGGCAACGGATTCTCGCCCCTCAACCTAAATGAGGGGATTTCCGGGCAAATATCCGGCCGGTAGAGATAGACATCACCTGACGGGGGATATTTTCAAAAATAGCTTGGCCCTATGAAAATATAGAAAAAAGTTGGAAAAAGGCTACAAAAATAGTAAAACTTGAGAAAGCATCGCTAGAGGTGCCGTTCATAGCAGTGCCATGTAGCCGCTACAGTTACTTTCTCGGAACGATGATTTCCAGGTGGTAAATGTAACAACAAACTAATGAACTTTTTTAATGACAACACCAATTCAGAAAGCGTATCATTAAAATGAAATTTAAGAATAAATTTCTGATGTAATATAAGAAAAATATAAGAATGAAATTTAATTTAAAAATCAAATGCAGAATCGGTTCAAAAATTGCCTTGAAAATAAAGATTTACATAGATTAATTACAATCTGGTTTGGCCGTAAAGCATTCGCCAAGAAGGGCAAAGATAAGCCACACCGAGTGACGACCGTCCTCTCATCCGGCGACCATGGGCAAGCCCGGCACTCGTCGGCAGACGAAGAAGCCAAAGTAGCGTTTTTTCAAGCCCTTTTTTGGCAGCGTACTCCTTCTCTACCAATCTATTAATTGAAGAAGCTTCAGAGTGGATGCCGGCGAGCAGACCGAGGCGGACACGGCCAAAGAAAAGAAGCCGCAACAACCCCGTGCACAGTCGACCGGGGCCGCCGACAAGTCGCGCCATCGCGCCACCAAGGTCCCATCCGAGGGCCCGGCCACCGGACGCACCGCGTCCGAACACGCAGACCCGAACAGCGAGGACGAGACGCAGAAGCAGAAGCGGAACCAGAGCGTTCGCGCTCAAAAGAAGGTGCTATTTCCGGTGTCTGAAACTGGCGTAAAACAACTTACAGCCAAAAATTTCTTAGGCTTTTTTGTTTGTTTTTAAGGAAAATATAAATCACGAAGCTGCTTCTAGACTGTTTTGTGCTATTTCTAAACGTAAAAACTTTACAAACTTTTATTAAGAACCAGCGCCCAAAACCCGCTTCGCGGGCCTTGGGCGCTGGGATGCTGCCTTTGCATGAAAAATTTGACTTCCCGATAGCTCGGGTCCTTCGGACCTCTTCCCCCCACCGACCACACACGCGAGTGCAACTGGCAAGAATGAGGAAATTTGTATTTTTCCGCATTATGCAAATTAGCCCTCTGGGACCCCCAAAAATGAATAAAACCGGCTTTAACTTTGTAAACTTGTATTTTATCAAAATTCTGAAAACGCCATCGGAAACAGAAGGGTCGATTCCTCCGGGTGACGGAGAATTAGGGCATTTTATGCACGGGAAGGCCCTCAAATCGGGCCTCGAAACTGACATCCACACACACACACACACACACACACACACACACACACACACACACACACACACACACACACACACACACACACACACACACACACACACACACACACACACACACACACACACACACACACACACACACACACACACACACACACACACACACACACACACACACACACACACACACACACACACACACACACACACACACACACACACACACACACACACACACACACACACACACACACACACACACACACACACACACACACACACACACACACACACACACACACACACACACACACACACACACACACACACACACACACACACACACACACACACACACACACACACACACACACACACACACACACACACACACACACACACACACACACACACACACACACACACACACACACACACACACACACACACACACACACACACACACACACACACACACACACACACACACACACACACACACACACACACACACACACACACACACACACACACACACACACACACACACACACACACACACACACACACACACACACACACACACACACACACACACACACACACACACACACACACACACACACACACACACACACACACACACACACACACACACACACACACACACACACACACACACACACACACACACACACACACACACACACACACACACACACACACACACACACACACACACACACACACACACACACACACACACACACACACACACACACACACACACACACACACACACACACACACACACACACACACACACACACACACACACACACACACACACACACACACACACACACACACACACACACACACACACACACACACACACACACACACACACACACACACACACACACACACACACACACACACACACACACACACACACACACACACACACACACACACACACACACACACACACACACACACACACACACACACACACACACACACACACACACACACACACACACACACACACACACACACACACACACACACACACACACACACACACACACACACACACACACACACACACACACACACACACACACACACACACACACACACACACACACACACACACACACACACACACACACACACACACACACACACACACACACACACACACACACACACACACACACACACACACACACACACACACACACACACACACACACACACACACACACACACACACACACACACACACACACACACACACACACACACACACACACACACACACACACACACACACACACACACACACACACACACACACACACACACACACACACACACACACACACACACACACACACACACACACACACACACACACACACACACACACACACACACACACACACACACACACACACACACACACACACACACACACACACACACACACACACACACACACACACACACACACACACACACACACACACACACACACACACACACACACACACACACACACACACACACACACACACACACACACACACACACACACACACACACACACACACACACACACACACACACAACAAAACACACACAACACACACACACACACACACACACACACACACACACACACACACACACACACACACACACACACACACACACACACACACACACACACACACACACACACACACACACACACACACACACACACACACACACACACACACACACACACACACACACACACACACACACACACACACACACACACACACACACACACACCACACACACACACACACACACACACACACACACACACACACACACACACACACACACACACACACACACACACACACACACACACACACACACACACACACACACACACACACACACACACACACACACACACACACACACACACACACACACACACACACACACACACACACACACACACACACACACACACACACACACACACACACACACACACACACACACACACACACACACACACACACACACACACACACACACACACACACACACACACACACACACACACACACACACACACACACACACACACACACACACACACACACACACACACACACACACACACACACACACACACACACACACACACACACACACACACACACACACACACACACACATACGCGCCAAAATTATATAAGGTAGGATGACAAAATATCGATTTTTTTTACCAAAAACGATCGTTTTTGACCAAAATTTGGGCTATTTGAAAGTTTTAGGTAGTTTTTAGTTAAAAATAGTTTTATTTTACTAAAACGTGGCTAACATGTTTCCTATGAGATTACTATGCATTTCTAGCCTTATATAAAAAATTATCGAAGTCTATCGAAGTTCACATCTAAAAATTACGAACAAACTTGTAGACCACTTCCCGGGACATGGCTCGACGCAAAAAGGCCACCATCACCGCAAAATACTCACCGGAAGTGGAGAACGCCGTCGAGAAGTTTATGACCTACGTGCTCGAGGTGGGCAGTGTCCTTATTTCAATCCCTAAAAACCCTTTAGACGACCGTCACCGGGCTCTACAAGGAATTCGAAGACCTCAAAGACTACGCCACACCCGCCTACAACTTTGAGGCGTGCAAGCGGAACCCGACGAAGAACCGATTTGCGGACGTGCACTGCTTGGACGCGACGCGCGTCGTCCTCCGCTCCGACTATGGCAACTACACGGCGGCTGATGGCGATTACGTTAATGCGAATTGGGTCAATATCGAGCGTGGGTCGCAAAATTACGATCAACGGATGCTGTAAAATCCAGATGCCGACCGGAAATACATTGCCTGCCAAGCGCCGATGGCCAACACGATCGAGGACTTTTGGCGCATGGTTTTTCAGGTATCTAAATGACCATTTTTATAGCAATTTACACAGTTTTTGACATAAAAAGCTCAAAGTACAAAAAATTTCGGACGTTTTTGATTTTTGTTGCCAAAAATGTATGAACAATTATCAAAAAAACAGGTAAAAATTCCAGGAAAACGTCGTCACCATCTTTGTGCTGTGCAACTTTGTCGAGAACGACAACGCGAAATGCGCCGAGTATTGGCCGCTGAAGTACGGCGAGTACAAGAATTACGGGAAGATGTTTGTCAACAACAAGAAGGTCAGTCTTTTGTAGAACGATTAGAGTACCAAAAACTAGGTGGAACCGGAGGACAAGTACGACATGTACACGCTGGAGGTGCTGCCCGACGGGTGCTCGAACTCGATCGTTGTCAAGCTGATCCACTGCTTCTCGTGGCCCGACCAGAGCGTGCCCAACTCTGGCCGTCTCGTGCTGCGCATGCTGAAGGTGATGAAGGTTGGTGCGGCGGCTTAATTGAGCACAAGCGGAAACTTTTTTGTTTAAGTCTAGAAATGCCCGGTAAGTTAATAGACAGGCTTTTAATAGCGTTTTTAGTAATATCTAACTATATTTAACCTAGAAAATATCTAAAAACTTTTAAAAATGTTGAAATTTCGTAACAGATCGGTCTTTTCTGGTAAAAAATTTATGTTTTTGCTACTTTTAAAAAAATTATAAATTTTTGACGTTTAGGAATAAAAATAAACCATTTAGAAACACCTCTACTATTTATATTTGAAAAATTGAGATCCAAAAAAAGTGGTTCCCGCCACCGTTAATGCGAAAGAACTAAATTTACAAATCCTTTTCCAAAAAGCTTTATTCAGGATTGTGGCCCCGGGACAGCCATCGTGCACTGCGCTGCTGGGATTGGTCGCACCGGCACCATACTTGCTATCGATATTGTCGCCGCTCGTCTTTTCAAGGGCAAGGAAACGAAGGTTTGTCTGCAGAAACCATCCAAATCACATCTCACAATTCAGGTGTCCGAAATTTTCAAGCAATTGCGCGATTGCCGTGCGTCGCTGATACAACGTGAAGGCCAATATCTCTTTATTTACTCGACGGTCCTCGATTACATCAAGGTACGCCGCAAAAAAACACAAGATAAAATCCCCACGCTATTTAGGCCAAGATGGCCGTCAAGTGGGCCCCGGACGTCGGCAAGTTTTACAAGGAGCTGGACAAGCGCGAGAAAGTCAGTTAAGGGCACCGAAGTTTAGAACCCCCTTTCTTACATTAAAAAGCAAGCCATATTGCCTCCGAATCCATTGTTCTCTATCCAAAAGGCTGACTCATGCTCTCGCTATTTGTGAATTATCGATCTGTGTGATTGTGCTGAATAAATGATTGCCGGCGCGTTGCACATACGCCCCCTCTCCCTCCAATCTACACGCCAAAAAAAACAAGGCTGATCGTTCGTTAGCTGTTTATGATGTGAAAGCTTGGAGCCACATAGCTATAAAAATGACGAGAAAATACACCCCAATACACTCAACACACGTTAGCGAAAAACCAAGATAATGATGAGCATCACAAGAAAGACTAGCGGGAGAAATTGTGGGTGCTGCGACGGGTCGTGTGAGAAAACCCGCCCACAAAAAAAATGAGCCAACCGGCCCCAAAAAACCTCCACGAGCCAATAGTAGCACCGGGATAAAAATGTGTAATCTAAAAACTAGCAGCCTAAGCAAGTGGGGGCGGCGGGGAGGGAGGCGATGGCGGCGCCGACGAGGGCGGCTCGGAAGAGGACGGTGGCGGCGGATGGGGTGGCATACCGTCATCGTCTTCTTCGTCCATCTGATCTGGGGAGATCGTTGGAGACGTTTGGGGCGGCGGCGAGAAGTACAGCTTCAGGCGGAACGCGTCCACACCGTTCAAGTAATACCTGGAAAATTAATATAAAAGAAGATTCATCAGCGAGAAGGTCCCTATTCCTAAAACTTCGAAACTGAACTCACCTAAATAACCGCTTTTCCCGAATAAATCCAAGGTTTGAGTAGAGCGTGGCTGCATTTGTGTTTGTCACCTTAAACATTCCAGTCTTTTTAGCTGCAAAAAACTACCTCCGTCTCGAGCACCACCTCGTCACATTGCTTCTCCTGCATTCGCTCTATGGCTCGTCGAACCAAGCGTGTGCCTGAAAAGACGAATAAAACTTTTTAGAGCTTCTAACCAAGCCCATGTCGTCGGTAGGTCTGATCGACTGCCAGCATGGCGATATAGCCCTTGCTCCTCTTGTACGGACCACCATCCAGCTTGCAAATGACGGTCCCGACGAGTTTCCGCGTCTCCCGATCAACGGCCTGGAAAAGGGGAAAATAAACTTGACGGGGATGCATACCAAAATACAAAGCTCCGGCCACCCATGTATAAAATAACGATAGGTGTAGATGGAGTAGGGTTCGCTGAGATCTTTCGTGATCAGCTCCATGATCTCGGCTAATTGGCTTTCGTCCTAAAGACTGGTTGAACGCAAAAAGCGCGGAATACCTTGTAGTCTACCAAGTCCACGTCACGTAGGTTCGGCTGTGTCGGAGCATCCAGTAGCGATGCGTTTACGGGCTGCATCTCGGAGACGCATGGCTTTTCGCTGCTAGTTTCCGCTTTCGAAACTAAAATCGTAGTAATGAAGATGAAGCGTAAACGCTGTTTCTCAAAAATTTATTATTTCGAAAAATGAAATTACTCACCTCCAACTGGAGCCGCACTAGTACTTGGGCCGCTTGTTGTCGCCTTGCATTCAGTCTACAGAGCTGGATTCCTTTATAGGCATGCTAGAAATCACCTGAGGGTTGGCACTAAGCCTTTTCAACGATTCCAAAGCATCCTGATAGATCTTATCACTAGAACTCATCTGAAAAAGGCGAATTACCTAGTAATACAGGCCTTCCGTTCAAATGCCCGAGCATAACACCAGCCACCCAGTACGGCGTGAAAAGAGCCAGCAACCGCTTTTCAAAAACTCCATAGCCCGAAACTTCTGCAGGATACCAGAAGCCGTGTCTCCCTCACAAATAGACTTCGAAATCAACGATTACTGCTGTTTTTTCACTAATAATAATCAGTTACATTTATTACAATTCGGCAATGAGAACAACTTCAAGGGGAACACGCCGGCTGCTCATACTCAAAGGGGAACACGACGGAAAGCAGATCAAGCAAAGCATTACCGGTGAAAATCGACCCGTGAGGCAGAAATATTATGGGATAATAGGAAACTATGGTCAAAGTGTGGCAGTGAGACTAGAGATACATTTGTGATGGGGCCACGACGTTGCTGATGCTGCCTAGAACCATGAAAATTTTGTCTATAAATGGGATCGCACCTAGGCCCGGCCCATGTAGGCGTCAAGCTGCGCGTTGAGCTCGGCCTCACTCATCCGCTGCGGTTTCGCTTTGTGCTAAAGAGAAGCTCACTGATTCAAAAGAAATGGATACCTTCTGAACCTTGTTTTTGTAGATAGGCGTACGGCGCTGCATCGGGCGAGGGCGAATCTAAAAGCCGATTCGAAAATAGAGGGATAAAAACCTGGCTCTTAAAAGCGACGGTGACAGGACGGCGTCCGATCAGGTGGAATTGGATGGCTTGACCTGAAAACGGGTTTCGAAGAATAGGCATCGAAATACCGTCAATCATCATGCCCATGTTGTCGCTGATCAATATGGCGGCAACGCCCGGACGATGCCTACATAAAAACGTATCTCCAAGGCAAAAAGAGTACCTAAAATGGATATCCGCCGTTCCGACAGGGCGACCCATCTCGTCGTGATGCATGATGATTCCGTCGTGGGGATAATCCGCAAAGAGCTCCTATCAACAACATAAGGCAACAAGGAAAAGACTTGCCTCCAAATCGAGTACAGTCACATTGTGTAAATTGGCCAAGTTCACGCGAGTCGGATTCTTGTATCGGGGCCGATATCCAAAGGGACGCGGGCGGTAGCTGACGTTGAAACGCTGAACAGAATTTCGAAAAAATACAACGATAAATTACTCGCTTGTATTCGCCGCGAGGCTTTATCGAATCGCGGGGTGCACGGGTGGCGCTTTCGCTCACTTTCACGTCACGCTGCTTTTGGATGATGTCGCTGAGGGCGGCATCCACGTCCATCATCTTTTCTATAACAGGAGAATTTTACATATATGTAGCTAAATAAATATTTTTCGCAGAAAAAAAATATAATAACCGTTGGGAAAAACTAAACGACACAAAATTTTGTAGTCTGTAGGACAGTACGCATTGATACAGTCGACGTTGTGTGTTGTTTTCTGTACACCGAAACGTACATTTTCTATTTTTACGTGAAATCCGGCTAAAGTGTAGTTTTTTCTGCGAAAACAAAGCAAAATCTATATTTAAAATTTCAACAACGATAAAATTGCTAGATCAAAGTTAATCACATTTGGGCTAAAACACTTTTCCCGACTGGGATACGACAAACTAACACCGGGCAACGCAAAACAACAGCGGGGGGAAACGTGAGTTCGAAGGAAACCGGGGTCGAAGGAAGGAAAACTAGGAAACGGACATCGTCGCATAAAGTTGGGGGGCGAGTTTCAATTTTGCAAAGCAAATATTCACACATAGACAAAAAAATGAGGGGGAAGCCTTTGAAAGGGAGCTGGCTCGACGTGTGTTGGACAACGACGGCCAAATATTAGAGGAGTCTGGAACCCCTGGAAGAGATGGGCGAGATGAAGAGCGAGAAAATAGCATCACAAAACTGGGTGTGGACTGGGTGGCAGAGGAGGTAGTGGTATATTTGTAGATGTGGAAAGCAATACGGGGGGTGGTGATTAGAAATTTAGAATCCTTTCGGTGTAGAGAGTAGAACCGGATACGTTGAGGGAGGGTAAAAGGGTTGAGGTAGGGATCACCGGGTGGAGCACTCGCGGCGACGTGTACAAAGAAGGTGAGGAGGTTTGAACAGTATGCGAAAACAATGAAGACATATTGCCTGACAAGGAGACGTTTTTTAGTGACAATCGAGTTTCCTTACGGGACCAACCATATCTTGTGCAGAATTTTGCGCTGGTTCCGATGCTGTTTTCAAAAACAGCAAAACGACGAGATCGAAAAAGTTATAAAGCTTTTTTGAATTGTCGAAATTGGGCCATTTACGGCTGTTTTCGCCTGGTAATAAATTCATAACTTGTTCTGAATCTTATCGTTTCGAAGATTTCGAAAACAGGGTCGCGATCAACGCACAATTTTGCCCAGGATAGCCTTGGTCGTGTAAGTAAACCCGATTTTCACTAAAAAGGTCCCCCTGGAAAGCGGAAACGCGATGGGCAAGAACAAGAAAAACACGAAAATTGATAACAAACAGTAAAATAATAATTATGAAAGGTAATTAATGGAAGTTTGCAAAAACCATGCATTACGCCCGGTTGGCCCGGGAGAAAGTTGTGGTATTTTAGAAGATTTTGTATGAGCTTTCTCGCAGATCTCCACTATTTCCACCTGGTTGTACCGGGCGTACTGGGCGCATTTTCGAAGTTTTCTAATTATTTTTAAAAGACGCGAATGCAATTGTTGCCCAGGTCAACGACGTAGACGCGGCCGTCAAGTCCGACGCAAAGGTCGGTCGGGCGGTCGAGTTCGGGGACGACCTATAAGGTTGTTTGATCAATTTTGAGCTTTTTTACCCTTTCGGCGTGTTTGCTCGAATTTTAGGGTTTTGAGTCTGTTTTTTTTATTCTTATCTTACCCCTTCAGCGTGCTTGACCGAGTCGTTGCTCGTCTGCGGGGTGGCCCCTTGTTTCACAACGACTGGTGGTGGCGATGTAAAGTCGGGGAACATTGTTGGCATTCGACCGCCGCCCATCGCGGGTTTCTAAATTAGTGTTTTTGGTGCATATTTGTTCTGTTTTTTTTTACGAAATGAAAACGCGGTTCTTTGGCATTTCCGGGTGCCCAACTTTTTTTGTAGGGTCTCATTTTTAAAATATAAATAGTGGCAGTGTTTCTAAATGGTTTTTTGCCATTCCTAAACGTGAAAACTTTACAAATTTTTATTTAAAAACATCAAAAATATCGATTTTCCTACCAAAAAGGCCGGTTTTGGGCCAAAATTTCGACTTTTTCAAGATTTTTAAAGTTTTTAGATAGTTTTTCTACTTTTCATATATTTATAGATCACTAGAAAGACTATTAAAACACTGTCCACTAACTTACTAGGCATCTAGATTTGTACAAAAAGTTCGGTACTAAAAAAAGATTTTTCTACATACCGCATCCTCCTTGCGGGCGCTCGGGATGCGCGGCCCGCCAAAGATGGCCGCACAGCGCATGTCGTTGAGGACAAAAACCTATAATATATTGGATTTAAGACATAGGCTCTAGTTTGTACCTGGATTCGATTATTGCGCGAGTCGCAGACGAGGAGATGCCCTTCTTGATCGAGGGCTAGGCCCTGTGGGCGGAGTAGCATTCCTTCCTGGAATTCAGGACTTTTGTGGCGAGCTATTTTTGCATACCCCGTCGCCCTCGCTGCCAAAGCATTTCATGTTGAGGTCGGGGCCATTTCCGGTGGCCATCATCACGATGCGGTGGTTGTTGAAGTCGCTAAAAATCGAGGTTTTGGTTCACTAAGAATCTCGATTCTGGACTGTTAGCGGGGGGGGGGGACACGCTATCCCATCCCCTAATCAAAAGGCACGGATAGCAAAATCGGTACGCGGCGCTGCTATAAACGCAGAACTGTCCACGGGCGGTGTAATTTGTACTCTCTAAGCGGAAAATCCCCCAATAAAAGACCATTTATCTTGAAAGTTTCATAGAAAAATTGAAAAAGAAAGTTGATTAAAATGTTCTAAGAAAAATTGCGCCTTTTGAGACCAAGATACCCGGAAACCACTTTCTGTTTTTCCACCTACCTGTTGATGTTATATTATGTATTTTTATAATGTTTCTAGTAGTATTTGATTGCTAGAAAGTTATAAAAAATATTTTTTTAATTGTGAAAACTCGAAAAATTAACTTTTTGGGTATTTTGATACATTTTTGACAAAAAATCCAAAAATTTCGAAAATTTTATGATTTTTGATAGTGTTTTTACATCTAAAAACTATGTAAAATGCTATAAAAATGGTTTATGTTTTGTTCTAGGGCCGTAGAGAATAACAGGGCAAAATTTGATCCCCCGCTAACAGTCCAGAACCAGAATCTCCGCAAACTCACGTGATCAGCAGTCGACTATCCGGCAAGAAGCAGACACCCCTCGGCGAGTCGAGATGTTTGAAGAAGTAGGCCGTGTCGAAGCCGCACTTTGCGAGGTATTGCCCCGTCGGGGAGAAGAGCTAGTTTGGCGTTACTAAAGCTCCAAATTACAAACCTGGACTCGATGGTTCCGCGTGTCCGAGACGGCAATTTGGTCCAAATGATCGGTGGCAACACCCCAGGGGTAGTTGAACATCCCGGTGGGGCGGCCCCGCTCGCCGAACATGAACACGTAGACGCCGTTGCTGTCGAACACTTGTATCCGGTGGTTGTCCTTGTCGGCGACGATGATCTGGTTGATGGAGTTGACACAGATGCCGGCCGGGCGGTCGAATTGTCCGGGGCGAGTTCCACCGGTGCCGAATTTGAGTAAGAACTTGCCCTCGGAGTCGAATACCTAGAGATGTAGTTTTTCTAGGTTTTTCTAGGTGCGGCTTCAGGAGTTGCGCTCGCGTCGCGCGCTGCGGAAATAAAATTAAGGCTGGGTCCTTTCGCATTATCGTGGGGACCGAACTTTTTTGTGTAAGTCTAGAAATGCCTAGCAATTTAATAGAAAGTGTTTTAATAGTTTTTTTTAGAAATATATACCTCAAAAACTATCTAAAACTTTTAAAACGTTGAAATTTTGGTAAAAAATCGGCCACTTGGGTCGAAAAATCGATATTTTTGATATTTTTCAATACAAATTTGTAAAGTTTTCACGTTTAGGTGTAGTAAGAAACCATTTTAAAACAATTTCACTATTTATATTTGATAAATTAGACCCTAAAAAAGTTGGTCCCCCCCCGGAAATGCCAAAGAACCAGAAGCTAAAAATTTACCTGAACCCTATTATTGCTCCGATCGGCCACGATGATACGACCCGCCTTGTCACAACTGATTCCCCACGGACGACATAATTCGCCGTCCCCGCTCCCTTAACTCGAATTAAACTTGAGCTTCTGGAGGCTAGACTCTCAAATTTATTTCAATTACAAGAGCCGAACGTTACAAAGCTCTCAAAACTCCCACCTTCACGCCCGAAATGGAACAACTCCCCTCGATCGAGTATCTCACGATAGTTGCGCCCCCTTCTGACTTCCAGCTCCAACGGTGCGCCCCTAGAGATTATCAGGTGACCCGGATACCGTAGTCCTCACTTGATGTAGGCCCCGCTGTAGAGGGTGATGTGGACAATGTGAAGCCCCTCCAGCTTCGGCACAAAGTTGATGTCGATTAGGCCGATTGACCGCTCGCTAGAATCAGGGTGAGGAGCATTTCTATCTCATACCTGATGCTCAAATCCAACGCCGATCCGTCGGGCTGGCAGATACGTACGCCAAGGCATTGCGCGTATCCGGTGACGGTCATCTCGGCATCGGAGGCGTCGCGGAGTTGGACTTGGATGGTGGCACATTGCTCGAGCACGAGCCTGGACAGGGGGTAGCTAGCATGGATTCTGGAGGAAAGGGCATACCTTCGTTTGACCTCCCCGATGACCAGACTTGTCGCTACGGATGGGCCGCTTTCGAGGTTGCCGAGGGAACGGAGTCTGAAAGGCGGCTTTAGGGGGTGTTTCGGGCGTGAAGAAGTTAAGCATAAAGCGCCTAAGACTAAGCCTAGGTGTAAGCCTAAGCGTAAGCCGAGGTCTGACCTAAGAATAAGCTAAGCCTAGGCCCAAAGCGAAGCCTAAACCTTAGCCTAAGCCTAAGTCTAAGCTTAAGCCTAAACCTAAGCGAAACCTAAGCCTAACTACCTAGCGTGCAGTTGCGGTTCAGGCCCTTGGAAGTGAATCATATCATTCTCATTCGGGTCGAGAGGCGGGGCCCGAGTCGAGAAAAGGCGGACGAGCTGCTCGAAGACGGGCAGCAGAGCGGAATCCCCGTCCTTGTCGCTGACCGAGTCCAGGAGCTTCACGGCCTAAAAACGGCTTCAGAAACAAGTCGAGAGCCCCTACCGTAGACAGCTGATTCCGGTAGGCGCCAATGGCTCTTCCCTGTTCGGCGAGTACAGTCTGCTTGGACTGCTTCATGGTGTGCAGGCTTTGGAGGAGGTCTCGCTTCCGCTCTTCTAGCGCCGACATATGTCGATGCATCTCGGCACGCACTTCGTTTGTTGCGCCCTAGAATTGGGTTAGGTTTAGGTTTAGGCTAGGTTTAGACGTTGGCTTAGGCTTAAGCATAGGCATCGGCTTAGGTCTAGGCTTACGTGTTGGCTAGACTTAGACTTGGGCTTAGTGAAGTTACCTGAATACTCGCGTCGATCCGTTCGGCCATATGGTGGATGCCGAGGAGAGCGCTGTAGCAGCCCTTATCTTCTCGCCAAGCTTCCCGGCCTGCAGTAGCCAGGGTTTGGCGGAGTTCACCTGGAAGAGAGAATTTGGCTGAGATTCCACCAAGAATCTCTGCTAACCTGCCCTTAATTTGTCATTCCTCAAAGAATCTCTGATAGCCTGCCCCGAATCCGTCCAGATCCTCAAAGAATCTCTGCTAGTCTGCCAGGTCAGGGAGTGGCCAGCTAGCAGAGATTCTTGAGGGGCCAGCCGCTTACCTATGGGATAAATGGTATGCCTCGGGTGGTCGGGCAGGCATTTGATGCAAAGTGGTCGGCTGTGGATGGGCGAAGTGGGGCAGGTCTCGCAGCGACCCATGGCCGGCATTCCGACGTGAATCTCGCACTCGTATACGGTGGATGCGGGGTACGGTAGGCGAGAGGGAGGCGCGTTTGGCTCGTCCATCACGATTCCGGCTGTAGAGCCGGGTGGATGGGGGAAGAAGGAGCCCTAGAAACCGCGGGTTGGAGCGAGAGATAGAGAGAAAGAGAGCGAGTAGAGAGAGAGGGAGAGAGATAGAGGACGAGAGATAGAGAGAGAGAGAGAGAGAGAGAGAGAGAGAGAGAGAGAGAGCGCTAGATAGAGGAAGAACGGGAGATAGAGGGAGAGAGAGGGCGAGAGCGATAGATTGGGAGAGATAGAGAGAGCGAGAGAGAGCACTAGCTAGAGGGAGAGAGAGGGCGAGAGATAGAGAGAGCCAGTGATATGGAGAGATAAAGAGAGCGAGAGAGAGCGAGAGAGGGTGAGAGAGTTAGTGAGAGAGAATGAGTGAGAACGAGTACCCCTTACCGTTTCCCCATGCATTTCCACCATCGCCGGTGACGCTCCGTTGTGATTATTTTGCAGCAAATGCACGATATGCTCCCTCGTCATCCTCACCCTCTGATGTGCTCCGACACAATCCGGGCACAACGCTTCCTTGCACTGTTCACAGTAGTGCGAGGCTACTGTAGGAATTTTAGCTATTATAGAAGCCAGCGTTTTGAACAAACCTCCACCACATCCTGAGCATTGGGTCTGATGATCGTTGGAGGTGGGGGAGAAAGGGGGAAACACGTTGTTCGGGTGGAGTTTTGCCTGAAAAATAGGATATAACTCTCGCTCGCTCCCTCTCTCTATCTTTCGCTCTCTCGCTATCTCTCTTTCCCTCGCTATCTCTCACTATCTCGCTCACTCTCTCTTTCTCTCGTGCGCTCTCTCTCGCTGTCTCTCTCGCTCTCTTTCTCTAACGCTCTCTCTATCTCCCTCCCTCCCAAAATGCCTACCGTATTCTCAAAGAACGGCGATCCAGGCGTCGTGTTCCCAGGGTCACTCCAGCGACCCAGCGCAGATTTTCGCGCAAAAGATGGTGGAGATGAGGTGAAGGGTGCCGTTTTGAGACCCGCTGGCTGCTTGCCAATTTGAGAGATCATCGTGGCCAATTCCTTTTTGCCATCTGACAGTTAAGGTTATTAGGCTAAGCTTAAGCCTAAGCCTAATTGTAAGCCTAACCTCCAGCTTACCTGAAAAATGTGAATCGATGGAGTTGATGCATATTGCGCAGGTGCCACTACCGTACCCCGAGTGTTGGACACAGTTCTTGCAGAACCTAGACAGGGTTTATAGCTATCCCGTCTTTCTCTCTCTCTCTCTCTCTCTCTCTCTCTCTCTCTCTCTCTCTCTCTCTCTCTCTCTCGCCCTCTCTCGCTCTCTCTCTAAAACGCACGAATGGAAGCAGGAGGGCGAGTTGTACGTGGCACCACTTTGCGCGCAGTCCGCCTGGCAGAGCGCGCAGCGCACGATGGCCCGCGTGCGGGAGGCTGCAAAAGTTTAAAGGTAGGTGGAAGCCGTGGATTCGGACTTGACAGCGCCTTTAAAACCCACCAATTCGCGATGGAAAGCGGTCGGAACCCGGATATTGAGGGGATGAGTGGATTGAAGGAGGGGAGTCGAAGATCGACGTCTGGAATTTGGGATATTTTTCGGATTTCCTAATAGTCTCAAGCCTAAGCCTAAGCCAAGCAAGTGCCTCAGGTAAAGCCTAAGCCAAAGTCTAAGCTTAAGTCCCAGCCTAAGCTCAAGCCTGAACTTAAGCCCAAACCTAAGCCTAAGCCAAAGTTAAGGCCTAAGCCAAGTCTAAGCCTAGGCTTAAGCCTAAGCCTAAGCCTAAGCCTAAGCATAAGCCTAAGCCTAAGCCAAAGTCAGAGCCTAAGCCAAGTCTAAGCCTAAGCCTAGGCCTAAACCTAACCCAGAACCTTAGCTGAAGCTAAGTCTAAACCAAGCCTGAGCCTAAACCTAAGCGTAAACTTAAGCCCGAGCCAAACCTAAGTCTAAACCTAAGCCTAAGTCTAGGCTTGAACATAAGCTTAAGTCTAAGCCAAGTTTAAGCCTCAGCCTAAGCTTAGGCCTAAGCCTATCCCAAAGCCCATCCCAACCCGTGACCAACCTGATAATTAGTGGATGCAGAATGGGTACTGTACCCCGAGTCACTAGTTGGCCCCCCAGCAGGCGGCATTTGGAATGGGCCGGAGACGGTGGCCACCGTATTCTGGTGGTTTGGCGGTCCCGCAGCGGGGGGAAGGAAGACGAGACGTTCGGGTGTAGTGTCGAGTAGTCCCATCCCCTCCCCCACCAGCTCGCCGGGCAGTCCATTACCCAGCAGCATCCTTCTCTCCATAATACCTGCAACGGAGTGTTTTGCATACGAATTCCAGCCAAAATACCGACAGCCAAAATACTTACAACCGTAATCCCGACAGGCCAAAATCGGACCACCAAAATGTGATATTTCCGGTCGTTTTACCCATAAATGATTCCAAAAAAACCGGGGTTTCTGGCTGTCGGGATTTTGGTTGTCGGGATTTGGAATGCCGGCATTTTGAATGTCGGATTTTGGCGATTTCGCTAAATTAAAAGTGACAGGTGTAGTTTGTAGCTTGTAGTAACTTTCAAATAGTTGCTAGACAAACCTGGACGTCCTAGTTGCCAGCTTTGAGCGCGACTAGGACCACCGACCCGTAGGGATTACCTTAAGATACTTTGTATACTTGTAGTGAGAGAGAGAGAGAGAGAGAGAGAGAGAGAGAGACAGAGAGACAGAGAGACGGAAATGGAGAGTGAAAGAAGGAGAGAAAAACATATAGAGAGAATCAGCAAGAGCGACAGACAGAGAGAGAGAGAGAGAGAGAGAGAGAGAGAGAGAGAGAGAGAGAGAGAGTGACGGAGAGGGAGAGTGAAAGAAGGAGAGAAAAACATATAGAGAGAATCAGCAAGAGCGACAGACAGGCAGAGAGAGAGAGAGAGAGAGCGAGAGAGAGAAAGCTAATTAGGAAAGAGAACGAGAGAAAGAGAGCAAGAGACAATCTTAGCAAAACTCCTTTGAAAACCTATCTCTACCGATCGGTGATTAAAACCCGCATTAAAGGGACAACGAAGTCAAGAAAAATGTAGCTTTGTTTCCCCAAAGATCTCTGCTAGTTACCCAGCAAAAATGGCGCAGGTTAGCAGAGATCCTTTAGGAAATCCGTGAAGACCAGCAAATTCATAAAAATCAAACACGCGATCTTCCCGAAACCTCTAAACATAATTCCCTAAAGAGCACTGCTAGCCTCCCGACAATTAAACTTAAACAAGAGACAGGGGAGGCTTGCAGAGATCTTTGGCGAAAATATGACTTGTTCGGAAACTGAATTAACAAGCTATCCGGCCGCTCAGTGGATTTTAAAGGGACCGGGAAGTGAATCCGCTCCTCCAGAACCCAGAATTGCGCAATGATCTCTGCTAGGTAATTCAGGTAGCAAATTCCGCGCGTGTGAGAGCCGGGGTGGGGGGAGGAACACAAAAAATCCAGCGTTGGGGGTCCAAAAAACGGGGGGAGTCGGGGTGGAGGGGGGAGGGAAAGAGAGAAAAAGTGAGGGCGAGAGAGAGCGAGAGGGAGAGAGACTGAGAGTGAGGGAGAGAGGAGGCTGTAAAACTGGGAGAAAGAGGGGGCTGGGGGTCCCGGGCCGAGGGCTGGGGGTGGCCGGAAAAAGGGGGGAAATTTAGAGAAAACCCAGGGGAAAAACGAGGGGCGAGAGAGAGAGACAGCGAGAGAGAGAGGGAGAGAGACCCCGGGCTCACCCCGGCGGCCTCGCCCCCCACCCCGGCCCACCGCTGCAAAAAACGCGACACAAAAAAGATGCACTTTAAGGGGGGAGCCCAGCAAAAAAGCGCGAGCCGCAGAAGGGGCAGAGACGCAGCGCACGCAAAAACGGATTGAAATTGGTTGAGGGGACTCCCGTTCGGGTACAAAAATGGCCGAGGCTAAGGGGGAAGCAATTATACGATTTTTGAGGGAATTGGAGAACTGCCAAAACAAGGCCGACCGAGCGTTAGGGAACAGAAGTCGCTAAGCTTAAGCCTAAGCCTAGCCTAAGCCTAAGCCTAAGCCTAAGCTCCAGACTAAGCCTGAGCGAAACCCAATCTGAAGCCTAAGCCCCAAGCGAAAGCCTCAGCCTAAGCCTGAGTCTTAGCCAAATCGATTCCGAAGCCTAAAGCTGGGCTGAAGCCTAATCCTAACTAAGCCGAAGTCGAAGCCTAATGCCAAGCCTACGCCTAAGCCTACGCCTACGTTTAAAACTAAACTTGAGCCTCAGAGGTAGTCGAAGCTGAAGCCGAATCTGAACTGGAAGCCTAAGCCTAGGGCAGAGCCTAAGCCTAAGCCGATTTACCTACAGGGTGGCCCAAAAAAAAAACAACAGGTTTGGGCTCGATTATCTCGAGAACCTTAATGAATTCATAGTGGGTTGATGGCTGAAAACCATTTTCTCGGCCTGGAAAAGAAATAAAACACAACTTGATTTTTTCGATTTTTGAGTACGCAACTGTACTATTGACGCTGGTTACGACCGAAAATTGTGCGTTCTTGAACGGGTGGTGGGAAAATTCTGATTTTTGGCTAAAAAATAGCTGATGTTTGTAGAAATGAAATGGCAAAATCTTAGAATTTATCGAGGTCAATTTCATTTTTTAGAAGCAATACAAATTTCACTATTTTGCATCTTTTTACGTTTTAATTCGCAACTAGCTTCAAATTTTCTCTGCCCATGGCTGATCTTTTGCAAATGGTGTCTCCAAATGATGATCTTTGATACAACGCCAGTTATCACCCGATTCTATGGTATTTTAATATTGCTTGCTAAAACGTGCCCCAGAGGGATACTGTAGTTTTGGTTTTTCGCGTTTTTCTTTTTATCGTATGCTGCGATTTTGCTTAAAATTTTTCCATTGGTATACACCAGTAAGGGTCAACTATTGGCCAAAGATCGTGGAGTTCTAGCCATATACCTTCCCAAAATATGCAAAAAACTTATTTTTGAATTTAGCCACGGAAATTTCTAAATATTTTGATGCATCGGACTAAAAACTACTATTATTTGTTTTCCCAAAAGATCGAAACGTTTCTATGGTGAAAAGACCGAGAAAACGACGATTTTCTGTTTTCTACCGTAACCCGCCTGGAGCGCGTTTTAGCATGCCAAGACAAAATGCCATAAAATGCCAATTTTTCTATTCTAGACTGTTCACTGGGTGATTGTAAGAGCACCTACAAAAAATTACTTGATTCCTGTGGCAAATGACAAAGTTATCAAGGAAAGAGGAAAACCCCCCTCGGGCCCCGATTTTGGACCCGACGCCCTGGCTCGAAAATCGAATTTTTGAAAATGAAAAAGGCATCGGGGTTTGGTGGATACAATTAAAGCACGTATCGAACTGTGCATGAGAGCAAAATTCTGGAATGATCTGGCTGAAGTGAATGGTTAATTTTGATTTAAAACCCGTAAATAACGTTTTTGAAAAGCCGACTTTGGGGAGCTCTTCTAAATTCGTTTGCCATGAAAAGGCTTTGTATTTGCATGGGTTCTAGTGCCTACCCGAGCTGAGTTTATGCCAGAAAAGTCGGGGCTACTAAACCCTCGAGGATTTTTTTATGTTGCCTCGAATTCGGGTATATTTGGGCTCTTCATGAATTTCTTTTGAGAGATTGGATAGCCCAATAAATTTGTAAATATAATTTTAAAATGCGCTAATTAAGTAATATCAAATAAAATTATGACAATAATTCTAGCCGTGCAAGTGAATTTTATAGATTGGCTCCAAGGTCTGCGAAATAGCAAGAACCAACCGTTTTGGAGGCGCTAAAAAGCAACCTTCCAAAGGGGTACGGTAGCTAGAAATTTTCTACGTGATAGATGGACGCCAGTCCTACACAACTAAGCAAATCAAACACGGAAATTCTATCTGCAATTTTAGAAATATTTTTCCAAAGTTCAGTTTCGTGACCTCGAAAAACTCCATGACCAGGGGGTCGTCGAAAAACTCAAAAATCCGCGGATCTGAAAAATTTTTTTGATATTTTTGCGGGATTGTATCGAGCCTATAGACGGGCTAAAACAGCTTGTTCTGAGGTTTCCACCATAGGTTTTTGTAATATTCGAAATTTACGAAATTTCTCCATACTAAATTTGAGCACGCTATAACTTGCCAACCTGACCTTCAAAAATTCCAAAATTTTGCATGTATCTATCTAATGCCTACAAGATTTTACACAGCAAAAATTAGAAATCCCCTGCCACAGGCGGCTGAGAAAAATACAAATTAAACTTCCCCGAACGCACAGTTTTCGGGTGTCATTTGTATTGATACGTCGCCAAAAATCGAAAAAATCAAGTTGTGTTTAATTTCTTTTCCAGGCCGAGAAAATGGTTTTCAGCCATCAACCCACCATGAATTCGTTAAGGTTCTCGAGATAAACGCGCCCAAACCTGTTGTTTTTTTTTTGGGCCACCCTGTACATAATGCCGATTCACAGAATGCCGATTTACAGAATGCCGATTTACAGAATGCCGATTTTACAAAATGCCGATTTACAGAATGCCGATTTTACAAAATGCCGATTTACAGAATGCCGATTTACAAAATGCCGATTTACAGAATGCCGATTTACAGAATGCCGATTTACAGAATGCCGATTTACAGAATGCCGATTTGGCATAATTTGGGTTCTACATCCAAAAATACAAACCGGATCCCCATAAAAACATTATCCGGCTTGGCCATGGCGAAATTTTACGAAATTTTTTTCCGCGTAGGGATCAAGGATTACGCGGAAAACGCACGCCTCGCGGCAAGTGTCAACGCATGCCTTTTTCGCTGGTCGCCGACCCATTCAACGTGCTCAGCCGCAGCGACAAAACTCGACGATTCATTATTATTTCTTGGTCCATAATGCGTCGAGAGGAAGGGAAAACTGTTTGATAGAAGAATTTAATTTAGTAACCAATGGGCGGCCCCCTTGGTAACGTGGAACTAGGGTTTCTCTGAAAAAAAGAACATAGTAAAGCTAGGCCTCAGGTCAGGTCGGAGAATGTTTTTTTTCTGGCTATCCGGTTTGCATTTTTGGATGTAGAACCCAAATTATGCAAAATCGGCATTCTGTAAATCGGCATTTTGTAAATCGGCATTCTGTAAATCGGCATTTTGTAAATCGGCATTCTGTAAATCGGCATTCTGTAAATCGGCATTTTGTAAAATCGGCATTCTGTAAATCGGCATTTTGTAAAATCGGCATTCTGTAAATCGGCATTCTGTAAATCGGCATTCTGTGAATCGGCATTTTCAGCCTATACCGCCTAAGCCTAAGTCTAAGTCTAAGCTACGTTACCCGCGAATTCCTCAGGAATGTCTGAAATACCTCCATTCTCCCAAAGGTTTCTGCTAGATTGCCCTGAGCCGAAGCTTAAGGCTAAGCCTACGCCAAAGCCTAAGCCCAAACCGAAGCTGAAGCCCAGACCTAAACTTAGGCGTGATCATTTCTGATTCTCAGATTTTTATGACTTTCCGAGTCTTAGCATCAACAGCAGCTCCAAGCATTACCTTCAGCATGCCTTCAAGTCCCTCTCCCAGAAATTTCCAGACTTGTTGATTGCTTAATTTCCGATCAGATCAGGCTTCTCCTCCCCTTGTCGAGCCTCGCTATCTGCCCTTCCTTCCCCCCAATTTCCGCTCGGCCCCCCTTCGAGCTAGTGCAAGCAAATTCCGACTTATCACTTGGCCAGTTAGCCATCACGGCCCTGCTGAACTCCCCCTATTCCTATCAATATTCCGTTGTGCTCCGCTGGACATCACCCAAATTTAATGAGAAATCCTAGCTTCGTCGCGTTATTTGGATTGGTTTTTATAATAGGCTGTGTTGCGTAAGTGATTTCTAACTTTCTAGTAATTAAGAGGTGTCAAGGGGAATGTTGCGGAAATTTTGCTTTTTCAGGGCCAATCGCCATCATCGACGTCATTTTTTGAACCAGGATGGGGACCGGGAGGATTGTGAATGTATCGAGGAGCGTAGTATTCATTCCAGGTTTGTTTAAGAGAGAGAGAGAGAGAGAGAGAGAGAGAGAGAGAGAGAGAAAGAGAGAGAGAGGGAACGGATAGAGGAGAGTACCATAAAATCAATTTAGAAATCGTCTCCTACCACCGACATCGCATTTCGAGGACTGCACCTGTATTACCAGAAGGAGACTTGGCTCCAGAGTGATTAGGTATAGTCTCAAGCCAAGCCTAAGCGAAGCCAAAGCCAAAACCTAAGCCGAAGCTTAAACCTAAGCCTACGCTCTAGGCCTAAGCCCGAGCAGAAGCGAAGCCTATGCTCAAGCCAAAACCAAGCCTATGCTCAAGCCTAAGCCCATGTTTACGCCTCAACTTGAGCCTAAACAGATTTTTCAGACTCCCGACCGGGCATCACCGCCTCCGCGTCCGCAAGCGTCGCGCGGAAAGTGACGGAAAAGCGGCGGCCCGCATGGATTCGTGGCTGGCGACGAGCTATGAAGAGGATGACAACAAGGAACGACACTGGACAGTACCCGCTCATGCTTTACCTGTACCGCCCGCCAAACCGACGCCCACTGGGGGGACAACGAAGAGTGAGTGGGGTTGAGGAGGCAGGGCAAGCTAGCAGGGACTATCTGAAGAAATGGGATTGTTTGGGCAAGCTAGCAGGGAACTTTAAGGAGCCAATTTCGGGTTAGGAAACAAGCATGGACGGTTTTGGAAATCGGAACGGATGGGGGCAGGCTAGCAGAGAGCATTTGAGAAGCCAAATTGAAGAGGGAGGCTGACAGAGACAATTTGGGAGGATGGAAGAGAGGGGGGAAGTCAGCATAGACAATTTGAGTTTGCTAGGCCGGCTAGCAGAAGCCATTTAGGAGCTGGGCTAGGTAAGGCAAGCTAGCAGAAGTTATTTAGGATGCTGGACTAGGTTGGGCAAGCTAGCAGATGCCATTTATCAAACCGGAATCGGTATGGCAGGCTAGCAGAGACCATTTGACTTTCTAAAGGGGCAGTGACACACATTTTCACTTCAGAATCCATCAAGAAGAAGCCGAAAACGACGAAGAGCTCGCGGCTGAGGAGAGCCCTGTCTCTCATTGAATAATTGCTTGATTTCACCTTATTTTCTTCTTTTTCTGAAACATTCTCGCCACTTTAATAAACCCTGATGATCTTATTTGATTGATCCCACAGATTTTTTTTCATGAGCTATGGCTGAGTGGTAGTGCTCCAACCTCCTGCTCAAACTGCCCGGGTTCGACTCCCCACCAGGGCATCGCTTTTGGTTTTTGACCAACCGGATTTAGGGATCAATATTTGGGGGCTTTTCCATAGCCCCGTGCTGCTTTGCAAATGTTCTTTTTACGCGAGACACATCTGGCCGTGTGGACAGTTGTTGCTCGGAATCCGGATGAGAGCACCAGCCTCCGGGGGGAAAACGGACATGGCCCGGTGCATCGCGTACTACGGGAAAAATTACTGGGATTTCTTGTTAAACCAGGAGCTACAGTAGTACCCGCCTACCGTACGCCAGTGAAAAATTGATTTTTTAGACGCATTAAAGGGAGTGAGCCGGCGGGTGGTTGAGCTTAAAGGAATTGATAGGTTCTGGGCTCTTAGCGGGGGAGGGGGTATCGGGGGAAACCAAATTTTTCCCAGTGACTCTCTACGGCCTTATAACAAAATAAAACCACTTTTATAGCATTTTGCATATTTTTTAGATATAACAACAATATAAAAAGATGCAAATTTACGAAAATCCTTTAAAAAGCCTTTTTAAAGATACTTTAAAAAGCTCGTTGCGACACGACATGCAGGCCTTGAAATTTTACCTAGTCCATTACGCAATGAAAATCCACGCGCAAGCGTTGCGCATCACAATCCTGCCTTGCTGGCCCCTTTAAAATCCCAGCCTCCCAGACAGGCGCATTAAAGGCCACGCACCAGCCAACGCCATTTCGTAATCCACTCCTCCCTGTTTTCCCCCAACCCCCTCATAATTTTTCGCCTCCTCTTAACTGGGCCCCCTTCGCCTGGGCCCTTAGCCCCGGCATGTGTAAAGAGGAGCGAAAAGCACCCCGAAAAAAGTGGCCAGAGAGCTCAGGGGGGGAGATCGACAAGAAAGACAGCTCTCATGCTCGATCCCTGCCCTGCCTTGTAGCCCCCACGGCTACGCACAACACCTAACGACGGGCCCCTGATTTTGCTGGATATCGAATATTCCGATCAGCAACGATGGCCCGCGCCCGGCCACCAGCTTACGATCACCGGATACGGTGGCTGGAGTGAGTTTTTAGATTTAGAATGTTGTCTAAGCCCGAGCCTTAGCCTAACCTGTGCCTAAGCTTAAACCTAAGCTAAGCCTAAGCTAAGCCTAAGCCTACGCCTAAGCCTAAGCCTGATCTAAACCTAAGCTTAAGTAGGGCCCAAGCCTAAGCCTAAACCGAAACCTAAACTAAGCCTTACCTAAGCCTAACTTAAGCTTCAGCCCAAGCCTAGGCCTAAGCCTATGTATATGCCTAAGCCTAAGCTAAGCCTAAGTTAAGCCTAAGCTACTTCCAAGCTAAGCCCAAGTTTATCCCTATGTCTAAGCCTAAGCCTCCTAATCCTAAGCGTAAGCTTAAGCCAAGTCTAAGGCAAGCCCAAACTCCCCGTTGTCTCCCTGACTCGTTACCCAGTGTGTAAAATGGTATGCAAAGAGGGTCGTTTCCGGGGCCCCCTCCAACCCAAAAAGTGTGTATACTCCCCCTGGCATGTGGATTGGATCTACGAGTAGCACGACACCCCCCAGATTCCACTCCACTCCTATCGCCAAATGTTTTTCAGGGCCACCGGCAGCGTGCTCGGGGGTCTCACGCATCCGGGCACACGCATTCCGGAACCGGAAGGGACTGACAGGTGGGTTTTTGGTTTATATCCTTCCTCAATGGTCTTTGCTAGCCGGCGATTCGAGTTTCAGCGTCCCAAATGGTCTCGGCTAGCTTGTCACCTCGAATATCTTCGTTTTAGGGAACGCCTGGTGCGCGCCTTCACAAAACAGCTCCTGGCCGCCCTCAACCACATGCACGCACAGGGACTGGCGCATTTGGGTGAGCACAAAAGTGGATATCAACAATTCGAAAATTAGATCTTCGCCCCGAATCGATTCTACTTCAAGACGACAAGCTGATTCTGGCCGATTTTGGGTCTAGCAGGTGAGTCAAAGCCTAAGCCTAAGCCTAAGCCTATGCCTAATCTAGATTTCAGCCTAAACGTAAGTATGTGCCTAACCTATAGATCTAAACCTAAGCCTAAGCGTAAGCCTAGGCAAAGCCAACCCTAGGCCTAAACCTAGGCATAAACCTAAGCCCACGCCTAAGCCGAAACTGAAGCCTAACTTAAGTCCAAGCCTAAGTCTAAGCCTAAGCCAAACCTTAAACAATTACGCCATGTAATTTCAGAAAACTCGACCGGTCCGGTGTCATCCGAGAGTCGATCCGTGGCAGCCCAGAATTCGTCTCGCCCGAGGTACTTTCTCGACATATTTTTTGATGCGGTTTACGGTAGCTCATCCATTTTTTTAGGTTACTCAACGTAAATTTTGATTGCGGTATTTTGTCCACTTTTTAGGTCGTCAATGGGCATCCGCTTTCGTTGGCCACTGACGTCTGGAGCGTCGGGACGCTGACGTATATACTGTAGGGTTTTATGGAGAGTGAGAGATAGAGAGAGAGAGATAGAGCGAGAGAGAGAGAGAGAGAGAGAGAGAGAGAGAGAAAGAAAGAGAGAGAACTACTGACTGGCTTACTTCAGACTTACTGGCGTCTCCCCATTCCACGGCGACAATGACGCCGAGACGCTACGCAACGTGTCGAAAGGATTGTTCCGTACCGACACGGAGGCTTGGAATGGCTTCTCGGACGAGGCCAAAGATTTTGTGCATCGACTGCTGAATTTTGAGCCTAGGTAGCGAGTTTAAAGGGGTGGGGACATCTGGGCGGAAAGCCTCCGTCAAGTGAAGAGGGCAATCTAGCAGAGAGCCTTACAAGAGATATGTTAGAGAGATGCTAAATACAGTAAAAAAACGCTAATTTTTAGAAGCCGTCCCTCCGTGACAGAAGCGATAAATCATCGTTGGCTGAGTGGCGGAGAGCATCTACCACCGTTGGCTGCCGATTGTTTGCGCGAATTCAGATACAAACACAAATGGCTGGTGGGTGGCAGCTGATTTTAATGGGACGGGCACGGTACTGTGTTTTTGGGTCTCTTTTTGCTGTACATCGTTCTTACCTACTCGTATTTCTTTCAGTGAGACCGCCGTTTCGAGTTATCTCGTACAGAATTTTGCGCGGTTTCCTAAGCTGGTTTGAATGTTTGCTAAATACCCCCTGTTCGAAAGTTACTTAGTTTTAAGATAATTTTTTCCCAAATTTTCCAAACTTCAAGGCCCACTATGTGGATTTTTCTGGCTGGTTTTATAAAAATCAATACCGCCATCATATTCAGAAATTGTTTCTCTATCGAACGCAACAATTGCCAAAGTTGCAAAAATACATCAACTTTTTAAATCGAGCTACAGCAGAAAAAAATGGAAAACTTATTTATAATCAGCAAAAAATTCTGCACAAGATATGCTTGGTCCCAACTCGGAACCGCACCAAAATCACCCAAAATCATATATCTAGCTAGCCCTCTTCTTTCAAACGTAAAAAAAAGCTGGCATTTCCCCAACTAAAGAAGAAGCTTGGCCGGGTGAGCAGATAGCCAAGAAGTCGAGTGGGTTGGGGGTAGTGCAAATACGAGTGAGACGACCCATACTTTTTGCCATCATCCACCTCTTTTTGTTCGTAGTATCCACCGGTTGGAAACGAATATCCCCATTCTCCCCTTCGAACCCCCCGAATTCCCCCGGATGTTTATCGCCTTTCTCGGTGGTTTCCTGCAAACTGTATGCACGCGGAAAATCCGGTTGAAAATTTAGTTTTTAGGAGCGCCGGGTATTTGTGCAGCAGACGCCGACCGATCAACATTTCGAACGAGTACAGGTCGGTTTTTGGCTTCGAAATTCTGGTTTATCAGCTTCTAACTTTATCTCTCTCACTCGCTCTCTCTCCCTTTTTCTCTCTGTTTCTCTCTAGCTCTCTCTTTTTCGCTCTCTATTTCTCCCCCTCTCTTTCTCTGACTCTCTCACTCTCACTCTCTCACTCTCACTCTCTCTCCCTCTCTATCTCTCTTTTTCACTCTCTCACTCTCTCTCGCTCTCCTCACGCCCCTTCGCTCTCTCTATCTCTCTCTCTTGCCTTTATCTCGCTCTCCCCTCTACACGCTCTTTCGCCCTCTGTCTCTCTCTCCCAACCTCTCTCGCGCTCTCTCGCTCCTTTTAAAACTCGCCTTCCAGGTTCCCCCGACCGATTTCCAATCTTCACAGCATCAACAGCGACGTTCGAACGATCCGAATCGAGGTGCCCCAATCCCGCAACAAACCCCACCCCGTCAGCAGGTATCCCCGCGTAGCCCTAGCTATATCTTATTTGCTCCCCTTTACAGTTGGACCAGTTTGGCCGGCCCGTGCCCCCGGAACTTCTCCGACTTTTGCAACAGCGACAAGGTACGGTTTTTGTCGTTTCCTCAAATAATCTCTGCTAGCCTGCTCCTCCAATAATACGAATTTCTCAAATAATTCCTGCTAGCCTCCCTAGCTTAAGTTTTAGGTCTAAAAATTCAACCTTTTTAGAAGAACTGAGCCAACAGGTGCCCCCCGGCGCCCTGATGGGAGAGCGGAAACGTCTGCAGCCCCAACAACAAGGAGAAGGTCGGTTTTAAAGCCTAAAACTTTCAAAATCAATACGCTACAATGTACAGTTTTGAAAATGTCCATTTAGCACCGGCCAGCCAGCATCTTGCCGCAAATCCGCCGTTTCCGCAAGAAGCCGGCGCGCAACCGCAGGTATGAAAATGTATTTAGAACGAATTTTTTGTATATTTCTCTATCTCACTCTCCCTCTCTCTCGCTCTCTCTCTGTGCGTGTCCCTCTCTCTCTCTGCATCGCTCTCTCACTCTCTCTCTCTCACTCTCTCTCTTTCTCTCCCTCTCTCTCTCTCTCTCTCTCTCTCTCTCTCTCCCTCTCTCTCTTTGTGTGTGTCCCTCGCTCTCTCTCTCTGCATCGCTCTCTCACTCTCTCGCTCGCCCTCTCACTCACTCTCTCTCTCTTTCTCTCCCTCTCTCTCTCTCGCACTCTTTTCTTTTCTCTAAATAGGCATATAGGCTATTTTGAAAGCTTGCTAGATGCCAAAGAGCCTAAGCGAAGGCTCGCCTCTGCCTAAGTTTCTCTCTCTCTCTCACTCTCTCGCGCTCTCTCTGCAATCAAGAATAATTGCCCCTAGCCTATCGAGTGATTACTCGAACAAAAAATTGCTCAAAAAAGGGGGCAGAAAGGGGATAGAGGAGGGCAGGTTGGCTGTTTGTCTACGGACCCCCGCTTGAGATCCCGAAGGTATGGAATCTCACCCCTCCATTTCTCTTCACTAGACGCCCACACTATTCCTTTCAACTTTACTCATAGCATTTGGGTGTTATTTGATCATTTTTGAGGTTTCAAAGGAGCTTGAAAGGCTAGGTTTAAGCAGGGCGACAAGCGAGATACCACAAAATCCATAGCCAGGCCTTGTCCGTCTCTTTAATACCACGCCCCTCCCCCGTTTCTCTCCATTTCATCTGCATTTTCCCAAAAGGTCTCTGTTAGATTGCCCTATAAAAGTTGCTAGCCAAGCTGGTACAAGCAAAGCCTTCGTTTAAGCCTAAGCCTATGCCTGACATGAGCCTAAGCATAAGGATAAGCCCAAGCCTAAGCCTAAGCGAAGCCGAGCCTCAGCGAAACCTGAGTCTAAGCCACTTCCTAATCCTAATACTAAGCCTAAGCGAATTCTAAGCTTAAGCCTAGCCTAAGCCTATAAAAGCTACGGTGCCTTTTAACATACCCAGAATTTCCTCAAAAATCCCTGCCAGCCTGCCTCCCCCTGACAAATCGACACATTCCAAAAAACACCAAATGCCGCGATAAATTGAGCAATTTAGGGCCCAACGGCCCCGGCGGCCACCCCCGAAAATAAATGCGAACCACCGGTGACGGGGGCGCTTTTTAGTTTTTAGCGCTAGCGGAACTGGGGCAGAAAGGCGGCAGGGGCTTTACAGTGGGTTTGTGTGTGTGCATGGGCCTTTTCCCAAAAGATGGGCCACCCTCTCTCTCTCTCTCTCTTTCTCTCTCTCTCTCTCTCTCTCTCTCTCTCTCTCTCTTCTCTTTCTCTAAAAACAACTTGTCCCGAGGTCCGAGATCTCCAGCCCTAGGGGATCGATGGCCATTCGCCAGCCCGTTACTGCTTTTTTCTTGAAACTCGTGTTCACTACTTTGAAAGGGAGGAGGCAGTTAAACTTTTAGCAAATTTCTTTATTGGGTACAGTATCCTAATGAACGATATTTCAGTTTTAAAGGGACTTGGAAGGCAAATCTTTGGTCTTTTCCTGTTCTTGCTCCTGCTCTTGCTCGTTTTAAAGAGAGCTCGAGATCTGGAACTCGGTTCTTTGGTAAATTATAGCGAGGTACTTTTCTACTTGTACTTAAGTCAAGCTAAGTCTGAGCATAAGCTGAATTTATTAGAACACACGGCTCCAATTAATGGATTACGGTTCAATCGATTACACTAGGTTATTTGAATGACTAGACGTCTCTCACTCTCACTCTTTCTCTCTCTCTCCCCTCCCTTTCCCTCTCACTATTTTTCTATCTCTCCCCTCTCTTTCTCTCTCTCTCTCGCTCTCTCTCTCGCTCTCTCTCTCTCTCTCTCTCTCTCTCTCTCTCTCTTTCTCTATCCTCATTTTCAGGTGCCCCTTCGCATGATCCGTGGCGAACATCGGCCAATCGAAGAAGAGATCGCGAATCGTATCCTATCTGGTGGGAAATTTCGTGGATTACTAGCTGTCACCCTCCCTTTAATGCGTCAATTGGGTCATTTTCAGCTGTTACGATTGAGTCATTCCTTTAAAAGCCAGAAAATGGCTATACCCGATTTTTTCCAGACATCTCCGAGGAGGGCTCGCTGGCCGGCTCGCTGGCCTCGCTTGAGGAGCTTGAACCATTTTTGGTAAGTCGAAATTCTATTTTGTGGATGTAGCTGTGTCTTGTAAACATTACGTTTAAAAAGATTTTTGCTAATTTATGCAAATTTAGTACCGCTATCAACCTTGCGGTCTTATCAATCGATCCGGCTCGTCGACTCCACGGCTTGAAGGTAGCGAGATTCAATTTAACATTAATTATTTAGAATTTTTACTTTTTTACGATACATTATTGGGTACTGTAAGCAATCCAGTTAATTTACGACTCTATTTTTTCAGAATTCCCGGAACATCTGAGCGACGAAGAGGACCTGAGCAGCAGCCCTACAGTATCCCCGAATACCGTCAAGGTAAGTTACCTGCTACATCGATACCTAAAGGTCCCTGCTAGCTTGCCTTACTGTACTTTGATGTACTTTAACGTATATTTTGATATCCTTGATTTAGGAAAGCGAGGTCTACACGCCGGCCGGGCCGCTTTCCCCACCGGCCATCCTCTCACCTGTACTCTCTGAGAAAGAGGAGCCAATTCCGGAGGAGGTAGAGAGAGAGAGAGAGAGAGAGAGACTGCTAGAGATAGAGATGGAGCATGAGAAGGAGAGCAGAGAGAGAGAAGGAGCCAGAGAGAGGGAGTGAGAGAGAAAGAGAGAGGGAGAGACAGCTAAGCGAGAGCGAGATGGGTAGAGATAGAGATGGAGCGAGAGAGAAAGAGAGAGATAAGAGCGATAGAGAGTTCCGCTTTTCAGCCTCTACCCCGTGAAGCGACCCGTGAGCCCTCGTCCGGCGAGTCAAAAGCCCAGAAAAGCGAGGACGAGGATACGGTGATCTCGCAGAAGACTCCGATACCATCCACCGAACAGAAGACTACCGCGGAACAGCCAAAACCTGTCGAGACCCGGCCTCCACATCAGGAATTTAACAACAACCTGTCGGCTGTAAATATGGAGGTAAGGGTTTGGATATTTTTCTTCTATTGAAGCGACTCGCAATGGAAAAAAGACGTTCTGGTGTCGTATCGCAACGGAATTCATAGCCAAAAACACCAGACATTCCTTGTAAATCGCTTTAATGCGCAGAAAGGTATCGAATTTCAGGCGCCAGTGAAGCACGTCAACGTGCCGGATCACACCCCAGTAGAAGAACTGCGTCAGTTCCAGTCTGAGGTCGGTTTTAACGGGAGTGGGAATTTGAACTCGTAATTCCTAAAGAATCTACGCTAGCCTACTGTTTTCTAAAGAATCTCTGTTAGCTCCCCCTTTTCCTAAAGTAAGGGTTCTCTGCTAGCCTGCCGCTTTCCTTAAGAATCTCTGCTAGCCTCCACCCACTGAGTTCCCCCAAAAATCAATGGTCGTGCTTATCCTGTAGCCTCTCCGGGAAGCGAGGACCGTCATCAACACTTACCCTCCATCTCTCTCTCTCGCTCTCTCTCTCTCGCTCTCTCTCTCTCTCTCTTTCTCTGTTGACTAACCTAGTAGAGCCTCTCAAAACCCGGCAGGGATGGGCAACTCGCGCACGCCCTGGCTTTCCATTGACGCCTTCCCACCGTAGCGTCGATAGGTGTATTCCGGAAGCCACCTCTCTCTGTATGTCTACCCCCTCCACCTCTGCCCCACTCTCTGCCATTCCAAAAATCTTACTCAACGATGGACGGCCGAAGATCGAGAAGGCTCAATCGCTAGATGCAAATTCCTTGCCCAGGCGTCGGTCGAAGAATTTGTTGGCCCCTTCGCATAGCTTGGATTTGGGACAGAAAGGGCCCGTAGATGGAAAGCAGCTGGCCGGAAACACGAAAATATCTTGTATCTCGCATCGATTAACCAAGGCAAGCTAGCAGGGATTATTTGGGAGGCTGAAAAAAGCCATGCTAGCGGTAAGCTAGCTGAGATTTTTGCGGAATACCCAGCCGGCCAAAATTAGGGCAAACTAGCAGAAATCTAGGAAACCTGATTTTTTTGGTTTTTAGATCCTCCGCGAAATCGATGCCGACCCGAAGATTGCCGTCGGGGTGCCGATTTTTATCGAGCCGCTCGAGCGCCATCACCCCTTCCTGATCTCGCCGTCATTGCAGGTACGCTGAGACCCATGCTGATGCTCAAGCCTAAAACAAGCTTAGGCCTAAATCGGAGCTTAAACCCAAACCTAAGCCTAAGCTTAAGACTAAGTCTTAGCCTAAGCCTAAGCCTATTCCTAAGCTTAAGCCTATGCCCAAGCCTAATCCTAAGCCTAAGCCTAATTAAGTTGGTACCTAAGTCTAAGCCTAAGTCAAAGCCTAATCGTAAGCTTAAGTTTAAGTTTAAGCTTAAGTCTATGTCTAAGTCTAAACCTAAACCTAAGCGAACTCTAAAAGCCGTGGAGCCTAAGCCGATGTCTAAGCGTAAGCTTAAGCCTAAGTCGATGTTTAAGCTCAAGCGTAAGCCTAAGCTTAAGCTTAAGCCTAAGCCTACACCTATAGGCCTAAACCTTTCTAGCCTCTGCAAAACAAAACCCCGTCTTCTTTCGAACTCCTCTCTCGCCATCCGCCATATGTTTTGGCCCATCGCCAACATAAAAAAGGTCGTGCCCCCGGGGCTATGAAATGTGGGGTCTAGGGGAGTGTAACGAAAAGCAAAATCCAATCGAATCGAGATTCCAAGATTTCTATACGAACTCACAGGTGGAGATCCCGCTCGCCAACACTCTGTCGCCGGTATCCCCTGGATCCAGAAAAAAGAAAAAAGCCGGAGCCGGCGGTACGGGCACGAAATCGGTGGTTGTCTCGCCCGGCAAGGAACATTCTATGGAGGTAAGCTTATCAGAGAATTTTCATGGTTTTTAATTGCTGTCACACTCCCTTTACAGCCCCAAATTCTTTCATTTTCCAGGTTCTCATCGCCACTAAGCGCGGTAAACCCGAATTTATTGCCCCTGGTGAAGAAGTGCCCGAGCTGGATGATGAGGAGCGGAAGAACAGGGAGAAGGAAAGTCTGGTAAGTGGCTTAGCGAAGGCTTGAAGATGAAGCTTTTCAGGCCAAACCGAAGACCCACTCGAAGGATGAGGACTTTGAGGATAAGCAGCCCGAGTTGGACAAGGTCAAGAGGAATGTCGCGATGCAGGTTTGCGTTTGGAAAGCTCAGCCTATGCTGAAGCCTAACTTGAAGCCTAAGCCTGAGCTTAAGCCTAGGCCTGGGCTCAAGCCTAAGCTCAAGCCTAAGCTTAAGCCTAATTCTAAGCCTAAGTCTAAGCTTGCAGCTAAGCCTCGTATCGAACTATACCTGACTTAAGCTTAACTCGAGGCGAAGCATAACTTCAGCCTTTGAGTAAGCTTCAGCCTAACTTGAGCCTACGCCTAAGCCTAAGCTAAGCCCAAGCTAAGCCTACGCTTACTCAAGAAGCTTTTAGAAGAAGCTGATGAACGACTTGGACAAGTACCGCGTCGGCAACTTCTACAAGGAAGACGATGGGTTCCGGATGGTTGAAGAAGACATTGATGCTTCACCCTGGGACAGCCATTATCAAGTAAGTCGCACTTCATTCATGAAAAAGCATCAAAAAAGCTTTAATTGCCGTATTTTAGATCGGTCCCGATACCTATTTAATGGCCAGCCGGGGGGCCGCCTTCAATTCGAGGGTCAGGGATTATAGAAGGTATACTTTAACGATAGAAATTTAGGTGAATCCCTGAATTTCAGAGAACTCTGGGGTGATGGAGCGGCACTCGTTCGACAGGGGTATCTGGGCGTTCGGAATCGTGATATTACAGTGCGGGAGAGGAGACGGTAAGTGGTCTTTAGATTCAGAAACCTAGGCTAAGCCAGTGCAAGGCTTAGTCGTGCGCAAGTCAAGCTCACGCACGACTAAGCCGAAGCCCAAGTCTAAAGCCTAAGCTAAGCCTAATCCCAAACCTAAGGTTATGCCTAAGCCTAAGCGAAGCCCAAGCCTCAGCCTGAGCCTAAGCCCGAGCTTAAACCGAAGCCTAAGCCTAAGCCCAAACCTGAGCCTAAGCTTATAAGTTTAATCATACCTAAGCATACCAACCTAAGCTCACCATGAAGCCGAAACATAAGCTGAAGCCTAAGCCAAGCCTACACCTAAAACTAAGCCTACGCCTAGTAAGTCCATTTTTCCATTTAGCTACACCGACATTCTTCGCGAGACCCAGCTGAACCTCGATGCAAAGTCCACCGATGCCAAGGACCCGAAAAAATTGAGGGTTAGTCCGCTCTTCTGGTGACGAAAATTTCGTTAAATTCCAGGAGACGACGTTGAGTCGTATTCGCGTGGATTTGGAGAAGGGAGAAGCAAAAGCGGCCCAGCCTGGAGCACCAATTTTCGCTCGGCGTCTCCGTGATGCATATTTAAATCAAAAAGCGCCGTCGGCAGTCTTTGAATGTCAGGTATGAGAGCGGTCTCTTCATCTCTCTCTCTCGCTCTCTCGCTCTCTCTCTCTCTCTCCCTCTCTCTATCTATCTCTGTCTATCTCTCGCACTCGCTATCTATCTCTTTCGCTCTCTCGCTCGCTCTATCTCCCACCCTCTCTCGCTCTCTCTCACTCTCCCTCCTTTTCAGATCATCTCCAGTTCCCCCTCCGAAGTCACCTGGACCAAGCACGGCCACGTCATCCACGAGGACGGAAAGCACAAGCTGCATCAGGCGAGCCTTCTCAGCCCCTTTAAACCTGTCCCGTTCCAGGAGGGCGATCGCTACATCCTCACCATCCTCCAGCCGAGCCCCATCGATCTCGGCGAGTACGCCTGCCACGCCAAGAATGAACATGGCGCCGACCAGGCTCATGCTCGCCTAATCAGCGGAGGTTGAACTGGAGTTGTCGTTTGCAGCCCTGTTTAGAAGCCCCCTCCCGCCCAGGTCGGCCCATGCCGGAACTGTCTTCGGATACGGAGCTCTTCCTCACATTTGACCCGCCAGAGGGACCAACATATCTGGAGGGAATCGAGTATAAAGTGGAATGTCGGATTGCAGGTATGTTTTTTCTCTCTGTCGCCCTCTCTCTGTCTCTCTCTCTCTCTCTGTCTATCTCTCGCTCTCGCTATCTATTTATTTCTCTCGCCTGCTTTCTGGGTCGAACTCGCTCTTTTTCTCTCCCCTCTATCTCTCTCATCCCTCCCTTTCTAGGCCCCGATGACTACGGCTCACCCTGGATTGTCGTCGGCGAAAAAGTGGAGGATGAAGCGGTTGTCATCCGGGTACAGTATCCCGGGCTACGGTAACCGGCCCCATTTTAGAATCTCGAGCCGCTCACCTGCTACCAGTTCCGTGTTTTCGCGCGCAACGGATTCGGTTGGGGCGAGCCGTCGCTGCACTCACGAATTGTCCGAACGCATCCGAGGGGTCAGTTGAATTTTTAGGCGTTTTAAAGGGACAGGCCAGCTACGCAACGCTCCGTTCAAATCCCAGATTCCAAAGTTCATAAATTTTCAGGATCCCCAAAGCTTCAAATGGACGAGATCAGCCAGGCCGCCCGTTTCGACATTCTGAATTTCCCCGTCGGCAAGGTATCCCAAGTAGCCTCATTTTTCTGAAGCTTATTTGCCTTTCCTTTCTCTATCGAATCCATGACTTTTCAATCCCTCTAAAATCATCCAAGCTCCGGCTAACACACCACAAAACCCCCAAAACCCGCCCCCCACTTTTTAGCGGCTAACCAAGAAGCGCACCAAGCACCACCACCCCTACGACGGGCTCTACAGTAATCTGCCAGTGAGTCTGTCGGCGTCCCTTTAAACTAACACAATGTAGGGTTGAGCTTAGGCTGAGGCTTAAGCCTTTGCATAGGTATAGGCTTAGGCTTAGGCTTCGCTTAGGCTTAAAGCCTAGGCCTAGGCGTAGGTATAGGCTTAAGCTCAGGCTTAGGCTTGGGGTTAGGCTTCACTTATGCTTTGGCTTAGGCGAGGCTTCGGCTTTGAATTAGGCTTAGGTTAGGATAGGCTTAAGCTTAGGCTTGGCTAAGGCTTAAGCTTAGGCTTGGGATCAGGCTTAGGTTTACGCTTCGTCACACATCTTGTGTCATTTCTCAAATGCATGGCGTGTATTTTCTTCTATATGTCGTACCTTTCCATAAAGCCTCACGTATTCTTACACTTTAGAGCCAGCCAAAGTCGCTCGAAGGAATTTCCGAAGAATCGGAAGAAACGGAAGAAGACAGCACCCACTCGGCTGGACACAGTAATCATTCCCAGGGTACCGTCGAAGCTCAACAAGGCGATCTGGGCGATCGGTTTGAGGTGGGTCTCAAATAATCTCAGCTTGATTGCCCATGTGTCGGTTCTATGGGCGCTTTCCAGCTCGGCTCGATCATCTTCTCATCCCGCTCGGCCATCGTCCGAAATGCCAAGGAGCGAAACTCCGAGCAGAAGCTTGTCGTCAAGTTCAGACACGGTGAGGCGGGACGGCGCGAGTTCGAGGCGTTGCGTGCGGGACAGCACGAGAATGTGCAGAAGATTGTGGCAGCATCTACCAGGTATCTGGCATGAATTTTCACAAGAAATCCATAGCTGAAAAATACGAAAATTTGCCTTGCGCATCCATTTAAACCGTCTGGAACGTACGAAACGCTCGAATTTAGCGGCGAATTCACCGGAATCTACTTGGAGCGCCTGTACGAAGATGTTTTTGCCCGTTTCTGCTCACACGACTACTACACGGAAGAACAGGTATGGTTAGGCTTGGCTTAGGCTTGGGTTCAGGCATAGGCTTAAGCTTAGGCTTAGGCCGGCTTAGGCAGGCTTAGGCTTGGCTTAGGTTTAGCTTAGGCTTAGGCTTGGGTTTAGGCTTAGGCCTAAGCTAAGGCTTAGGCTAAGGTTTGCTTAGGCTGGGCTTAGGCCTGCGCTTAGGCTTACCTTTATACTTAGGCTTAGGCTTAGCCTTAGGTTTAGCTTAAGCTTAGTCTTAGGCTTGGGCTTAGGCTCAATTGCCTAAGCCTAAGCTAATGCTCATGCTCATGCTCAATTTTTTCCATACTCTCCCGCAATACCCTGTTTAGGTGGCCATCGTGGCGCGTCAAGTGGCCGCGGCTCTGCACTGGCTTCATTTTAAGGTACCTTTTATCCACCTACCGTAACCCTTAAACGTCTAGGGCATCATCCACGGCGAGGTGACCCCGCACAACGTGATGTTCGCCTCCAGAAGGGCGTGGGTCGCCAAGGTGACCGGGTTTTCGTCAGCGCGAAGCGCCGCCGAACGAGCGCCACCTCCGAAAGAGTTTGACGCCGTCTGGGCGCCGCCGGAATACCATATGGATGACGTGCCGGTGACGACGCAGGCCGATCTCTGGGGTCTGGGCCTCATCGCGTTCTGCTTGTGGGTTTTGGGTGGTAATTTGGAGTCTATCGTACTTTATAGTCTATGCATAACGGTAAGAATTCAGGCAATTGTAGTTTTGAGTTTGTAGCCTATTAGCATGCCTTATAGATTTTTCTACCGTGTTAACAGAAATTGTAGTTTGGAGTTTGAAGTCGACTGATATGGCTTATGCAAATAAAATCTCAGAAACCTTGTATTTTGGAATCTGTGGTCTGTCGATATGGCTTAAAAAATGTAGTTTGGACTTTGTCCTCTTTATAGGCCTAATAGACTTTTCTAACGCATTGGCAAAAATTGTATTTTGGAGTTTGTAGCCTAATGATGGCTTAATGAATGCTTATCCTAAGGAAATCCCAGGCAAATCGTAAATCGGAGTTTGTGGCCCTTGATATTTCTTGACTTTTCTATCGAGACCTCAGATGGTTTGGAGTTTGTAGCCTCTTGGTCGGCTTTATAGATTTTTCCAACGCATTCAATAAAAATTGTAGTTTGAAGCTTGTAGTCTAGTTCAGCAAATGAAAATAAAAAGGAAGAAACGTTAGACAAAGACTACAAAATTTAGAAAACTATTTTTGCGTTAAATTATTGTTTTTTAACTTTTTTCACGTAAGCTTTGCAGGCTCGGCGGTTTCCACCCGTTCACCTCCGAATTCGACGCGGCCGACGAGGTGAAGGAGAACGTGGTGACGCGGAAGTGCGACCCGAACCTCATCCCGGTGCAGGCCAGCCAAGAAGCTCTCTCATTCGTCACATGGGCCCTCAAGAAGAGCCCGCTGTAAGTTTGTTAACTATATATTGAAAAACCCATTTTTTTAGCTAATACGAACTTTAGAAATAGTTTAAAACAAGCAGAAACCGATTTTTAGCCGCCGGATGCGTACGGAGGAAGCCCTGACGCATCGGTTCCTTTCGGCCGACCCATCGGAGGTGCGGAAACGTGAGGCCACCCGCTACAGCTCGAATCGGCTGCGGAAAACGGCGCTGCTCACAAAACAGGTAAAAACATAGAGAGTTTCCTTGATTTTTACATATTAATAGCTATTACATAATTGCTCAAAAACTAAAATCTCTGGTTCTAGACTATTAGCGGGTGGGACGCAAATTTTTCCCTGTGATTCTCTACGGGCCGATAAAAAATATTGACCATTTTTATAGCTTTTAAATAGTTTTTAGATAAAAAACAATATAGCAATAATAAAAATTTTCGAACATTTTGACTTTTTGGTCAAAAATGTATGAAAAATGACAAAAAAGCTCAAAATTTTCGAATTTTCAAAATCTTTAAAAGTATTTTTATAACTTTCTAGCAATCAAAAACTACTAAAAACACTATAAAATACATAATATATCATCAATAGGTGGAAAAACAGGAAGTGGTCCCCCCCCCGCTAACAGCCCAGAACAAAATATCCCTACTTGCACTTTTCAGCCGTTCGCCCCGCCCGACAGCAACGAGTTGCAACAAAAATACGGAAAATAATAGATACGATATTGAACAAAGATTTATCAATTTTTATCGGCAAACTACCAGCTACAAAATACGTAAAACAACACACTATAAACGCGTAATAATAAAGCTTGGCATGCAAAGGCGGCGTCCCGTGTGGATTTTTGGAGGTCGAGTGGTCCTATTGCTTGAAAAGAGACTCGTAGCGTTTCCTGAAAAATGCTTAGCTGTTAGAAAACTGGTACTTTCTATTTTTTCGATATCTACTAGGAGTTTTTGCACTTTTTAGCCTACCGTAACGTGTAGGCGGCGATTTTTGGCTGACGATTGCGCGTGAAGACGCCCTTATGATTCCCGACAGCGCGTGTTGTGGCTAAATGCCGTTTTTTTCGGCTGGGAGTACCTTATAATCCGAATTAAATCTTGTAAAGTTAAAAACTTTACAAATTTCCATCGAAGAATTGTATCAGAAACAACGATTTTTTATCTAAAAACCTGATTTTCGACAAAATTTTCAATTAGCAGTTCTCAAAGTTTTGTTTTTCACTTGAAATTTATAATTACATTTTACTAAAAATACACTGAACATAATTGCCACTACACAAGTATATAAGTCTACAAAAGATATCAATTTTCGATTAAAAAAAGTGGATTTTCGACAAAAAGTTAATTTTTTTTTGGTTTTAAGATTTTCGGAATAGTTTAATTCCACATGTAGCTAAATCTTGTAAAATATGCTGAAAATGGCTGCTAAAATCAGAAAAGATACAGATTTTCGACAAAAATCTCAATCTGGCGATCTCTCAACTCATAAAAACCCAAGAAACACGCCTGTAAATAGTTTTTATCTAGCTTTATCTATTTTTATAAACACTCACACATTCCTGTCATAAAATCGGCAAAGTTCCATATCATCTCGCCGGTGATAACCTTCTGGGCGCGGAGTGTGTCGAACGCCTTGTGCGTCTCGCGGATGACGACGTCTTGGTACTGCTCGGAGAAGTCGACGGCCGGCTCCTGAAGGAATTCGCCAATAATCGCTGCTAGCCTGCGTTTCTGTACCTGGGTTAACCCATCCAAGCTGTCGGCCCCGTATTCCGTGACGAGGATAGCCTTTCCGAACTTCTCCTTCCACAGCATCAAGTCGTAAGTGACAGAGCTGGAAGATAGACAAGGCTAAGCCTAAGCCTAATTAACAGTAATTAAAAGTCAATTATATAATTAAAAGTAGTGTTCATTCTAAAGTTCTAAGCCATAAAAAGCCATTTCTAAGCCATCGGTACTGGACTGTTAGCGGGGGGGGCGCACCAAGCAAAAATCACTAGGAACACTTTCAAAACTGGCTATTACGCTCGGAATTACTTAGAGAGCTTTCCCCTCCCTTCCTCTCCCCCCCGCTAACAGTTCAGTACCGTAAATTACTCACATAACACGCTATTTTCAAAAATCGAAAAACCGCCGAAAACTTGTTAAAAACGAACCGATTGACATTGTCCAAAAATCCCATATCGATATACCATCCATAGTATCGATTCACGCAGACGACATCAAGCAGGTCAGCCGTCTGGTCATTATCATAGTTCGACGGTCCGTAGACGATCGTCACGGGGCGCGTGGGGTCGAGGGCGTGGGCGCGGTCGATGAGCCCCTTGAAGTAGTTGCGCGCCTCCTTCTTCTCGCTGTGCGGCTCGTTGGCGATGCTCCACATAAACACGGACGGGTGGTTCTTGTCGCGGCGGATCATTTCCTCGACGAATTGCTGGTGCAGCAGTTGGTTCATTTTTGGGAAGCCTCTGCAAGGGAATTTTGCTCTTAACTTTTGGATTTTCGGCTGAAAAATTTCGAAAAAAGTTCGTTAAATTTTCAAACCTTCCGATTTTTTTTAATATAGGCAAATTAAATAACGGATAACCAACTTTAGCCCGACAGCCGGCGTCTCCAAAATGACAGCGATCCCTCGCCGATCTCCCTCCCTGATCCTCTCCTGGGCGTACGGGTAGTGCGAGGTGCGGTAGCAGTTTCCTAGATTTTCATAAAATATACCGAGTAACTCTTACCATGCATCCACTCGAACAAATTCAAATCCTTGGTCATCACCGCCTGGTCGTAGCCGCGCCCGTGAATCTGAAAAAGTAAGATATCGATTAGCTTAAGTTTAGGCTTGGCTTCGGCTTAGGCTTAGGTCTTTGGCTTAAGTACCTCAAAATCCTCGTGCATCCCAAATCCAAGACAGTAGAACGGCTTGTCGTTGATGTAAATCTAAAAAAAAATACCGACCAAAAACCATCAAACCTGATCGCTGTCCCATTTGACGGTGCGGAAGCCGAACTCCTCGTTGTAGACGTCGAGCAGGGCGCCGGAAGCGGATTTTAGCTCTACCTAAAGGTACGTTATCGATAAATCAGCTTTTTATTTGAAAAAATAAGATTCAAAACCTACCCTAAGTGTGTAGAGATTAGGGTCGCCCATGCCACGCGGCCACCAAGGCTTTGCTCCGGGAATTTGAGAGCTTCCGGTGAGGCCGGTTGTGGAGGAAACCTAAAAAATCCATTTTTAAGGGCGAGATTTTCAAGACTCAATAAAAATAAGATAGGTAAAAGATGTTTAAAATGGCATACTGACCTCCTTGCCGTCGGCGTCTATCACGTGCAACGCCACCACCTCATCCCCGCTACTGCCATTCAAGGCAACCGTCCACTTGTAAGAACCTAAAATAGAAATTATGGATTTCTTCTATTTTTCAGCGAACGCGATACGCAATGCGAATGATCGCATTTTCGTGGCGTAATCGATTAATTTCCTCTTCCGTCACTAACCCAAATGTTCAGCATATATCGTAATGTCCTCGATAAAGATTTTCGGCCGCTTCTCCAGATACACCGTACGCAGCAGTCCGGCATAATTGAAAAAGTCGAACAACCCGACCATCTTGAAGAAACCGGGCGGGTAGCGCGAGATTTTCTAAAGGGTCGTTAGACAAAATTATTATTTTACCTCAAATCTTGACGTATTCCGCTCCAATGATCCCATATAGTTAAAATCGGCCTGCGGTACCGTGCCCCACGATAGCGTGTTGTTTACCGCCACCGTAATCACGTTCTCCGCTCCGAATTTCACCTACATTTTTTATTTTTTTTTTGTTCTCTGCGTCCTCTTACCAAATCCGTGACCTCAAACTCGAACGGTAGATGACCGCCAATGTGGTAGCCGACGTCTTTTTGGTTGAAATACTAAAATTTTATGTTTTTCGGGCTTGTGGGCTTAGGTAGCTTAGCTTGCTGTGCTGCCTAAGCTTAAGCTAAGCTTAATAATCGGGAAATCCATACCACACGAGCGAAATATTGGGCCGACTCGAAACGCAGGAATAAACGCATATCGGCGTCTCGCTAAACTTTCTTTTACTTTTGTTCGGTTCGTTATCACATCACTTTAATAGATATAATACCTTGGAAATAATCTCCTTTTTCTGGTACCACACCCAGCCGACGTGGTCGCGAAGTTCGGCCTCGGTCGAAAGATCGTTATAAGCGCAGGGCACCGGCATCATTGTGTGGTTCTAAAGTAAAAATATAAATATTTGCTGTTGTTTTTAAGGATCAGATACCTTAAAATCATCGAGATCCTTCTCGAACCACCCATTCCGGATGCCGATATCTCCTGTATTTGATGTCTCCCTAACAAAAGTCCATAGGCCGCCGAGGTCATCATACGTCCTGATCTCGTTTCGCTAAATCACGGAATTAACATGAGCTATTGAGCCTAAGCCTAAGGGTTCTGGCCTGTTAGCGGGGGGGGGGGGGAGGGATTCTTAGCCGGGGGACCAAATTTTTCCCTATGATTCTCTACGGCCCTATAACAAAATATAAATCATTTTACAGTACTTTACATAGTTTTTTTTTTATATAGAAACAATATAAAAAATATAATTTTCGAACATTTTAGCTTTGGTCAAAAAATGAATGAAAAATGACCAAAAAAGGCTAAAATTTTCGAATTTTCAAAATCTTTAAAAAGATTGTTTATAACTTTTTAGCAATCAAATACCACTAAAAATAAGCTAAAAATACATAATTTATCCTCAACAGTATAGGTGGAAAAAAGGAAATTGGCTTTCCCCCGTGCTAAAAATCCCCCAGCTAACAGTCCAAAACCAGTCTAACCCTTAGCCTAAGCCTAAGCCTAAACCTAAGCCCAAACCTAGAAGCCCACCTGTACGAACAGTGACGCAAGACATCCACCGAACAGCACCACCAATGTTCCCACTTCCCGGGTGACCATCCCTGAATGGCCGTGAGCGACGTGTGCGAGGAAAAGTGCCGCCGAGCCTCACATATTTATGCGAGAACGGGGCAAATATTTGAGCGAAAACGACAACACAAGCATATATCGGTGGAGCGGCAGCTTTTTTGGGTCTGGTGCCTCCTCCCCTTGGGCGACATTAAATTTCATACTACTGGTCAGGAAACCGAGGAAATTGGGCGGGAACAAAATTGAAAAATTTTTGTTGTTGCCTCGGCATCCGGGCGCCCATATTTGTAAACACTTGACGGGGCGCCGGAGGGGAACGCCCGAATGGGAATGAATGAAGCCCAAAAAAAGTTATACAGAAAATATAGGTGCATTCTAAGGAAATTGCAGGCGTTCGGGATCACAACTTTCGTAAAGGGAGCTAGACCGTTAGTGGGGGGCTAGATTTTACCTGCAGCCCCGTAGGGCACAAATAACGAAAAACACAACATTTATAAAAACGAAAAACACACCATCTACGCTGTTTTACGTATAGAAAGTTCGCAAAAAATTGCTAGTCCTTGAAAATGCATTTTTGCCCAGAAATGCAGGAAAGTTATCATTTTTAATCTTTTAGTTGTTCTAAAAAGTTTATATGTCATTTTAGTAAAGAAAACCACTACAAACACTATAAAAATACAGTAACAGTGCGAAAAAAATTTGTTAGGTTAGGTGGGATAAGTTAGTTATCCCCCCCCCACTAACAGTCCAGTACCATATACAAAAGCATTAAAAAAAAATAGTCACGCCGTCTTTCTACCGACAGTGAGCAACGATTGTGAGGCTTGATCCTCAAAATACAAATAAAAAGCCAAAAAGCCACTCGATAACTCCTTAATCCATCGGATCCGGGTCTCAATTTTCGAAAAATGGAAAGCGTTCCCCAGACTGTCCAGAGAAAAAAAACGATAAATTTGTTGAGGGCTGCCGGGGTGTGAAAGGGAGGATGTTGTCCCGCTTCTCCCAATCCAGGCCGTGATCCCCCTCCTTTTCCACGCCCCGAGTTCATCCCTCCCCGGGCCGACTGATCGAACGACTGTCAAAACGCGTCTTTTTCCGCAAATTGGGACACGCGCCAGCCGTTTGCTAGTCAAAACCATCGCAACCTTTGACGAAGCGTGCGTGGCTTTACTGGGTTGCGCACACTAGATCAGCAGTGCACCTAACCGGAAAACATGTTGAACGGCTTTTTGGGCCATAAAGAGGTTGGGCGGCCGGTGCGTGAACCCTAAAAGCTCGATAATCGCGGCAAAAATCCCCAGAATCACGGACAATCTTGCCATGCATCAAAAGCAATCCCCAAAATTTGAAAGATACCGACGATCAGACTCTGCGAAGATAGGCAAAACATCAGCGGCGCCGCCTCCTCTATCCCTCACTTTTTCGGCAGACAGGACCCGGGACAGCTCGCGAAAATATCCCTCGAATACCCGGGCCGTTGAGGGACGTGAAATTCACCCACTATACAAATTTAAAAATTCAACGAGCGAGCTGACAGCACAGATCCGCACCAATTTCAAGGCACCAAACTTATCTAATCAACCCTCGAACCAGCCTGAACCCGATGTTTGCCAAGGCTGCGTGGCAGACACCAATTCGGAACCTTGGGATTTTCCGTGTCCCTGCAATGCAGTTTGGTATGGACCCCCGATTTCAACAAGCAATTTTATCCGTAAAATAGTACAGTAATAAAAACAATGTCAATTGTTAACTAACAGCCATTGTGGCGTTCAACAGTTCAAGCGGGCACCCGGACCCTGATCTTTTTCGGTGCCGTGACGCGTGCAGGTTGCTATAAAGACTTCGAATAGGATAAATTTTCAAATAACCTCCAAAATTGTCGTCTCCTCAGGGCGAGGGTCTATCGAAGGTGTGTATGTCTGCAAGGTCACAAGTGACACAAGGTCTTCGTTATGGGACGTCCAGTGGGTCCACCTAAAAAAGAGACTAAAATAGGAGTTTATAGAGCTCACAAAACATCGGCAATCTCACGCGTGATTGGCAAGCCGGCATGACGTTCGATAAAGCACAGAGCAAGGTAGCCATCTAAAACACAGAGATTAGGAAAACTTGAAAAGATTTACCCGACTTGAGCACTTCACGCGAGAAACGAGCAGCTTCTGAACGCTGGAAACCGGGCGCATACTTCAACCACCTAAAACAGCGTCAGAGCAGAAGGACTAACAAACCTGCGCACTCTGATGGCCTTGCGGAAGTGGAAAACGTGGTTGACCATCATGATGAGCGTGTTGAGCACGGTCAAGCCGAGGAGAATACAGAAAAGGCACCACAGGACCAGGAAAATCTTCTCGTTGTACATGTTGATCATCAGAACACATTGGACAGTCCTTTCAACCAAAGCGCCGTTTGAGTGGATGGCAAAGTCGCAGAAGGTGACGCGGGGAAACAGGCCGGTCTGCGACCAATCCTGGCCTTGAATCAGTCCGAGCACCGGCTAAGAAATTCGTTAATTCAAGTTTATATCTGCGAACAAACCAGTAAACCCCAGTGCGTCCAATCGCGGCCGAGGAACCATCCCAAGATGAAGATTTGCAGCAGGATATTTCCGATGTACAACAGCTTGGTAAGGAAGTAGATGGTGGTCAACGAATGGGAGAGGTAGTCGGCCCTAAAATTCGATATCTTGCAAAAAAATCAACCGCTAATACCTCCATCCAAAACAACGATTGCGCCGTTTGAACTTTGCGACGTCGTGCAGACCAAGCGCCTCCGAGAGCGTGGCGGCGACTTCATCGAGCTAAAACAGATTTCGTGCCTTGAAGCGCGCAAGATACCTTCTCGGCGCGCTTGTCGCGGCTCATATTCTTCATTTTTTGGGCTTCCAGAACGCAATGCTCCAAATCGATACCTAAACCCGAGGTCAGAAGTCGAGAGAAACTTTACCGAAAGCCGAGGTGGTCCGCTTCCACAACCAATTCGGCAGATAAAAGCACAGGGCCTGCAAGGCCAGCAGGAAAGGCACCCATTGATAGTAGGAGATTCGACTGTCCTAAAACAAACAAAAACTTAATCAAAAACGAATCAAAGTACATGTCCACGATCCGGTGAGTCGATCGAGTCAGTCTCGTTTGCCTTGATGAAGTAGGTGTTGGACGTGAAGCAGTACGAATTCGTGTAGTCCTTCCAGGCGCCGCTGAATTCGGCGGGGGTCCAGCAATCGATTGGATGGCCAAATGCTCTGAAAATAGATAAACGCATAAATACAGTCCTTACTGTTTGGCCGAGATCAACACAGCGAAGAAGACAAGGACTTCGGCGGTGGTGCTGTAGTGCAGGCTGTCGACAGCGTCATCGAGAACATGGCGCTTTAGTGTCTTCCGAAAATCACTCAGATAAGGGATCTTGTCGAAGAACATCTTTCTAAAAATGAATGTCAAGCTAGATCCAATACAAGTTTTAGGATCAAAACAAGAACATCAAAACGTCACAAAGCGGAAGGGCTCTAGGTGGGCGGCCGCGCTTTTGCCCCGCTGAACATGCCGCCGTGCTCGGAGTACCAATTCGATCAACTACAGGATACGGTCAGCTGCAACTGAAAGTCGTCAAGCTAACACCTTGCCCATTTCCTTATCTCCTTTGTAAAAAACTACGCGATTTTGTTGACTGGGCGCCTGTGGTCGAGTAAATGTTCAGTGGAGGTATTCGGCACAACTAACAAACACGAGCCAGCGCCCCATCATTCGCCCGAAAGTTCAGAGCAAATCTTCACATCTTCTCACCCACACATCCAATGATTAGAAGTACGTGGCGAATCCGCTCAGTTTCGTTACCGTACAATGTCAGCAGTAAATCATATTTATCGAAATCGAGAAAAACAACAATCAACAAAGAATGCACAAATCGCAAAATTATGCTTTTTCGGCTTGTCCAGGTCGTTGTGGGCCGCCGCGAGGGGCACCGAAGCGAGGCGGCGGGTTGCGGTCACGGCGAGCTTCTCGCGATCGGTTGCGGACGACCTTGGCGTGGATGGCACACGCGACGCAGTAGTGCATCTTGTTGTACAACTTCGGCAGCGTGTATTCTGAAAAAGGAGATTAATTCTGCGTCCGAGAACCTAAACCAAAACGCAACAATCTAGTGAGCGGCACTAACGAAAAAATAAAAACGAACGTTCGTAGACGGAGGCGTCGGCAAGATCGCGGACGGCCGCCGCTTCGACAATGTTGCGGATGACGGTCTTGCGGATGGCCTTGTCCTTCGGGCAGCAGCGGCCGCAGTTTGTGCAGCGGACGAAGCGGACGTGGCCTCGTCCTTTCTTGTTGCGTCCGTGGTTTCTTCGTTTCACCGTCATCGCGGACCTGAAAAAAAACGATTTTAACAAAAGAATAATAAACAAAAAAACACCAAGGAAGCAAAAAGCCAATTTTCTGGAAAATGTCGAAAAGGCCAAAAATTCGTTTCCAAGCCCGTCGGCGACCTCTACCGTATGCGGGTACGAAAGACAACTTTTCCGGGAAGCGCTGCGGGACCGGCTATCGGGCACGCAAAATCGGTTGTTCGCTTTTTTCAACTTTTTCGGCGCTCCTTTCTCGGTTAGTAAAGCGCCCGCGGGCGCGCCCGAAACTCGAAAGCGCCCGCGGGCGCGCCCCAATCGCGTTGTAACGGCGTAGGACGGGTTCTTTTAATGCTTTTATTATTTAAAAAAGGGCACTACATCGCTTTTGACGATGCTGTACCATATACTTAATGTATATCTTCACGTTCCCTGAGAAATTGGTTGTATTGCGCACCTGAAATATGTTTTTTTTTTGCTTTCTTGGCTTCAGCTTCGTTTGGAACTTACAGATACGTTCGAATGCGCGATAGACGGCCCTAAAAGTGTAGCTAATTACCTAATTTCTTTTATAAACTTTGTAATTCACACTTACTTTCTTCCCGCTTCCTGAAAACTTGCTTTGATTTGCTTCTTGCCGACTTACTTTGCAACCCCGCGCCAGAGATACCGGAAACGTCGTGCTTCCCATTTGCAATGATGACCAAGATCGTCTGAAAGGTTGGCTTATATAAATCGAGAATCTAAATCTAAAGTATTTTTAAAGTTTTTTGAAGGGACTGGTTGCGTAGCAAAACTTTACCTCCTTTACCTGCGCCATGGCACTTCAAAGTATCGTATTCTACATTCGACGACCATAACCAAGCGAACCTAGTAACGTATTTGTTAATTTATATATGTTTTGAACATAAATAAGTGCATAATCCAGGAACTTAGCCGTTTTTTCGCAGAATTGAAAGGTGTTCACCATTCAAATGCGCCCGCGGGCGCGCCCCTAGTTGCGCCCATGGGCGCTTTTTGCGCCCGGGGCGGTTTTGCGCCCTTTTGCAAAAATTGCGCCCGGGGCGCAAAAGGGTCCAGTTCGGGCGCGCCCGCGGGCGCTTTGCTAACCGAGTTGATCTTTTTTGAATCCTGAGCACCCTCCCTCTGGCATAACTTTTTACTTTTTACGAAATAACACTTTTTCAGCGGAATCGCAACGATGTTTGAGGCCAAGCTCGCCAATGCTGCCCTGCTCAAGAAGATCATCGACTCTATCAAGGTACGCGATTGTTTCTGGCAATTCAATAGTTTTATTTAGGACTTGGTCACCGACGCGCCCTTCGACTGCTCCGAACAAGCTGTTTGTTTGCAGGCCATGGACAGCTCCCACGTTGCCCTAGTTTCCCTGAAGATGGAGGTAGAATTTCTGTAGTTTTCACACCATTTTCTAGGTCGGCCTCTTCGACACGTACCGCTGCGATCGAACGGTCAACCTGGGCCTATCGCTCGCCAACATGGCCAAGGCGCTGAAGTGCGCGAACAACGACGACACTTGCGAGATGAAGTTTGATGACAGCGACGCCGACACGGTCACTTTCACCTTCTGCGACACCAAGCGGGACAAGACTCAGGTACGCTGCAATTTTTCTTCAGTTTTATTTTCTGCTTAGGATGTTACAATGAAGATGATGGACATCGACGGCGAGCACCTGGGCATCCCGGATCAAGATTACGCCGTCGTCTGCTCGATGCCTTCAAGCGAATTCCGCAAGACGTGCAGCGATCTCGCCATGTTCTCCGACACGCTCGTCATCACCGCAACAAAGGTGGAAACAGTTTTCGTACTTTTGACTTTATGTAGGCTGGGATCGTCTTCTCGGGCAAGGGCGACGGTGGCTCTTCCGTCATTACCTACAGCCAGTCAAAAGACGCCGACAATGGAGATGTGAGCATCTACCTTCCTGATTCTAATATTCCGATTTAGCAAGTCACTCTGAAGATCGACGACCCGGTCAACGTCTCCTTTTCGATCAAGTACATGAACCAGTTCACGAAGGCCTCATCTCTCAGCGACCGCGTCACGATTTCGCTCTCGAATGATGTCCCGGTCGTAGTCGAGTAAGCAGTTTCTTCAGACAAATCTAATTTCTGCGTTTAGATACAGCATCGAGGACAACGGTCACCTCCGCTTCTACCTGGCACCGAAAGTCGACGACGACACCATGGACGACTGAGAATGCGACAACCATAAATACCTGCCCACCCATGCTATCATTGTCCCAATTTGCTCATTTTGATTTGATACTGATATGCTTTGCGAATTTCATTGAATAAACCTGTGTCCGGACCGCTTGTGCAATGAAGAATTTTTGGTAGGGTTTAGCTGCCAACAATTTTTGTCTGCTTTGCTTTCCCCAAACGATGAATTCGAAAAAATGTGTCAATGTTTGCACCGATTGACTTTCGCGGTGAACTGGCAATTTGTCTTGCAGGATGGTCGGCTTTGATGCCTTTGACCAAGCCCTCCTCGCATGTCTACTATTAGCGGCGCTCAGCTACTTCGTATGGGCTAATTTTCTGGTGAGCTTCCACGTTTTGCTTTATTTTGATTAGAGACGCACAACAACACCCAAGGCAAAAAATCGACTCTCGGCCCCACGCGACTCGTGCTTCATTACGAAGATGAAGGCTGAAGGGCGCAGGGTAGACTCCCGTTTCGGCTTAGTAACTGTTGTTCAGATTCTGATTCTCTATGGGTCGCAAACCGGGACGGCTGAAGAGCTTTCGGGCCGCCTTTCCAAGGATTTTCACCGGTAGGTTTTTGGGCCGTTCACCACTGTGTGTTTTAGCTATCAACAAAAAGCAACGGTGCTCGACCCGGAAGAGATTGACGTTGACGACCTTTCTCGCCTACCTGGTTAGTTGGATTGATTCGGCGCCACTGTACGTTTCAGAGGTCGAAGACGTGCTGCTGGTGCTGTTCATGGCGACATATGGAGAAGGGGATCCGACGGACAATGCGCAGGCCCTCTTTGAATTTCTCAAGAACACGACGGCCAACCTGGAGGGCGTCCGATACGCCGTCTTCGGGCTTGGAAATAAAACTTATGAACACTACAATGCCGTGGGCAAGGTATACTATTGTAGTTTTTTTTGAACGGTAATGGAAGGTTCACCCTGTAATGGCGATTGTAACCTCACTCGTTGCAGATCATCGACGCACGTCTAGAAGAACTGGGCGCCGAGCGTGTACACTATATCGGCCTCGGCGACGATGATTCAAATCTTGAAGAAGACTTCATGCGGTATCTTTTCAATATTTGACCGTCATTACTTGCTTCCAGATGGCGCGAGGGATTTCTGCCTCATGTCGCTCAACGCTATGGATGGGAAATCGACCCTACTGCTGAAGCGCAACGACAATATCGACTCGAACTACTTCCTTCCGATGGGCAAGCCGTCCTTTTTAAGGTATTGATTGCTTCTGAATTATACTACGAATGTTTTAGGGCGAATACGGCTGCGTGGGTGCATTCGAGCGACAGCGCCCTCCATTTGACCTCAAGAACCCATTCTTGGCGGAGGTTCGGGAAAACCGTGAACTCCACACCGCGAAAAGCGAGCGCTCGTGCAGGCACATCGAACTGCTGTTAGACGGTATCCCTTGATCTTCGAGTAGCCTAGAGATTTTAGGGTCCCGAATCCGTTATGAAGCCGGTGATCATGTTGCGATTTTCCCCACGAATGACCCGGAACACGTTCAGCTGGTCCTTGATCGCTTGGAGATTGACCCAGAGCAGGTATTGCCACCTTTTTTGTACCAATTAACTTTTTATTAGGCCTTTCGTTTGATCCAGACTGACGAAGATTGCAGTAAGCGCAGTCCCTTCCCCTGCCCCACGACAGTTCGAGTTGCTTTCACCCACTACGTGAGTGATAGCGCCGAGTGAGTTAAGATCTTGTTTAGGTCGATATTTGCTCGCCATTGAAATCCCATGTGCTGAAGGCGCTATCGGAAGCGTGCATCGATGCCGTTGAGAAAGAACGTCTAAAGCTGCTTGGAACACCAACGGAAGAGGGAATGGTACGGAACAAAAAACTATTAATTTTTGTATAGAAAGCATATGCCCATTACATCCAACGCGGACGCCGTTCCTTGGTCGATGTCATTCGGGCCTTCCCCAGCTGCCGGCCGGATTTCGACTACTTGTTCGAGTTGCTGCCCCGTCTTCAGGTGAGTTAGCCCCTTGCCACATGATTTACTTTGTCTGGGATAAACGTTGATTTTTCAGGCCCGCTACTACTCGATTGCTTCATCACCAAAATGTATGGAGACGCAAATTCATGTCACTGCCGTCATTACCGAATACGAGCTTTCCGATGAGCATGACACGCGGAATATTAAAGGCGTCTGCACAAATTGGCTGAATACTCGCGTAGGAAATCTGTAGCACCGTTACGTTCTTTTCCAGCGCTCCGGCGACAAGGTACCCATCTTTGTGCGAAGGTCCCAAATGCGACTACCCTACAAGTCGGCAACTCCCGTCATCCTGATCGGCCCGGGAACTGGATTCGCACCGTTCAGAGGGTTTATCCAAGAGCGTCAATTCCAGAAGGCTCAAGGTATCTTTTTCATACTCTAATATAACCCAAATTCAGGCAAAGAAGTCGGAAAGCTCATGCTGTTTTTTGGCTGCCGAGACCCGGAAAAGGATTTCATCTACCAGGACGAGATACTGGAGTGAGTGTTTTGGATGTGAATGTGTTCTTCATGAAGCAATTGTGTATGATCTTAAACATTTTTTTTAGATATACGGCCAACAATGTCGTGACGGATCTGCACGTGGCATTCTCTCGCATCCCGAACCAACCCAAGGTTTACGTGCAACATCTGATGTGGGAACAACGAGAGGCCATTTGGGCCATTTTGTCGAAGGATGCCAACGTCTACGTTTGCGGGTACCAAACATGTATTTTTACTTTATGTTCCGTTTTAAGTGACGCGAGGAATATGGCGAAAGACGTTCAGGCCTGCTTGATTCGCATCATCAAGGAGGTGATTTGACCTTCGATTTTCGAATTCCTGTCTTTTCTAGGTTGGCGGTTTGCGTGAAGAAGACGCCACGAAATTCTTCAAGGACCTGGAGCGACAGCGCCGTTACCAAGCCGATGTTTGGAGCTAATTGCCGTTGTCTGTGTCATTTTTTGTTAGTTGGCGTCGGAGCTTTCGAATAACCCCCTCCTCTGTATATTTTTTCTTGGTGAATCTTCCTTGACTTTGTGACCGTACGTGGAAGCAGTGCCACAGCTAGAATGCATTTTCTAATTTTCCGATGCCTCTATGTAGGTCGTTTAGCTAACCTTGTTCATGTGAAAACCGGACCTCCATAAACTTAATTTTTGACCTTACTTATCCCCCATTAACCTGTGATCTGAATTCCAATTTGCTGTGATTTTTTGCCGGCTCGAATAAAGGTTTTGAGTTGAATTTTTGGCTGATTCCTGTGAGCGGTTTGTAGCGTGTTAGCGGCATTATTCCGCTTTTTGATGTTTTGCCAGATGAATCGAAGAGTCGCGCTAGCTAGGGGTTACTAAAATTGGCACTTATCAAGTTGGGGGGGCCACTTTGGTTTTCGACTTTTTGAGTCTGTCTAGGCTAGTTTTTTGTGCTGGTTCCGAATAGAACAAAGTCAGAGTAGTAAAACACAATTATCTAAACGTTTTAAGATTTAGAGATGCTTACACCCAATTTGAGCCTAAAAATAAGGCTTCGTGCCACCCGGGGCCTAGTCGCTTCGGATGGGTGCGAGCTCGTACAGGGTTTCGAAATCGGGGCGCCCGAGCAGCGCGAAGCGCCCAGGCGCCCCGATTTCGGAAGAGTGGAGCGGCAGCCCATCCGAAGCGACGGCCCACCTTGCCTGACAATGCGGCAAGCCTAAAATTGTGCATAAGTACACTTTTATTAATAAATTTTTACACTGTTTTTCTGGATAAACCCAACCGTTTCGCATGCTGTTGCGACTCTATGCACTCAGCGTAAAAAACTACCCCAGAAAGAGTCGAAAAACTGATTAAAAAAGTGTCTCCTAATAGGTACCCAAAGTGCCCCCCAACTTGATAAGTGCCCTAAAATTAATTGAAAACGGAATACATCAATTGGGTCCATCCCCGAAAATACTTATCGGAGCTGCGGTGTCATGTTTTTCGCTTCTGTCGCGTCAAAAAAAAACTTTTCGCGTGGGTATTGTTGCGCAAATTTGCATTTCCGCCTCTAGTTCCGGTTGGCTGCTTATCAATCCGCAGGACCTTTTTCAGGCTACACGACCATGGAGCTGATCGGCAACGACGAGCACAATCGGACGCTGAGGCACTACCGGCGCGTCTCGTGTGTTAGGGTTGGTTTTGATTTTGGACGTTTGGTTCTCTCTCGCGCTTCTGCACCCTGTTTTTTTGGCTTAAGTGCAGTTTACCCCCCCAGCCCTAACTTTTCAGCCATACGTCCTATTAATGCGCCGAGTATCTCAAAATGTTCGCCGTGGTCGAATTACTATAAAAAAGTTGTTTTCTTACATCAAAAATTGTTAGAAAATTTTTTATAACAATTATAAGTCTGGGTTTTCTTTAGTTAATTTTTGCTGTTCCAAAGTGAGTTTTCGTATCTCGTCTATCTTTTGACGTACAGAGCTGTCAATAGTACCAAAATGTAGCTCTTGCTCTGGAGAATAAGCCTACAGCCCGTTTGAGCCAAAAAAATAGCGGAAAATAAAAATATTTGAGTTTTAGACTCCTAGTACATTGAAGCATAGCGGCTTAATCTTTTCAACTTTCAAAATCTTGTAAAAAATTTTTTAGCAATTTTCGCCGCAAGAAAACAACTTCGCTATAGTAATTCGACCACGGCGAACATTTTGAGATACTCGGCGCATTAATAGGACGTATGGCTGAAAAGTTAGGGCTGGGGGGGGGTAAACTGCACTCTAACCGTTTTTTTAGTACGTCTCCAATGGGCTGGCGTTTCTGGGCCTGGCCAGCCTGGGACTGCCATTCATTTGGCCCTACTCGCCGTTCCCGCACGACACGTTTCGTTTCTACGCGGTGCCCGAAGTGTGCGCGTTCTTCTTCTTCGTCTCCGGAATCGTCGGTACGAATTGAACACCTTTCATTGCAATCGGGTGCTGGAAAAGAAAGTTTCTCTTTTGTTTAGGCTCGTTCCTCGTCTTCGCCGGCAGTCGTCAATGCTACCTGGGCATGCTGCTGCTGGCCATGATTGCACGTAAATTTTACCTATCTAGCTCAAAATATTTTTAGTTACGATTTGCGCGCCCGTGATGCTGCTCCTCTCGGCGGCGCTCCTCTACTTCGGCAAGAAGCAATGCTGGGGTAATTTCGATTAATTTTTACCAATGCCTTTTTCAGGTGCGGCCAGCGGCAATGTGTGGCCCGGCTCCAACACTAGCGAGTTGACGATGATCTGCGATAAACTACGGTACGAACATTTCTGTAGTGACACTTCGACTGTTTCAGGAGCCCTGGCGACAACTTTATGCGCATCGGAAGTTCCTTCGAGCTGGACCTAGGTAGTTTTTACTGCCTTCTCTGATCCCTTTGCAGTGATGACTATGTTGAGCATGACGCTATGGCTCTTTGCCCTGATGCTCTTCATTTTAATGTGGAAGATTGTCGCGCACATGCCGGATATCAAACAAATGTAATTTGGCTTGCTTTTTAATTAGTATCGTTTAGCAGCAACAAGCGCAACCAGCTTCGCCAGATGTTGCACGAGGGACGTGAAGGTAACCTTTCAATAACATGACAAAATCTTTGCTTTAGAACGAAACCCCGACGAGGAGACGCCGCAGCTGGTGCGCTGTGACCCGAAGATCCAGCTGCGCTTTCCGCTCAATGACACGACGCCGCATGTCTACATGGGCCCTCGCACGCCGTCCGATTACACGGTTTCTGATGATGACGAAAAGGTACAGGCGTTTTTTATCTAAAATCTGTCTCGAATGTTTCAAAAGCATTAAAAGTTTTCTAGCGCTCTTTCTCGACAACCTCGAAAAAACATCTTTATTTGACCTTTTCAGCCCGAGCCGAGGACGATGAACTTCCAGCGGACGACAGCCACGCGTACGGCCGACGATCTGGACACCAGCGCGCATCGCCTTCTGCAGCGTCAGCACGGCTACGCCCAGCTGCCGAGCCCCGGGTCGCTGTCCGCCTGATCGCCCCCCATGATTGCCCCCGGCACCGGCTCTGACTCCTACTAATCACAGCGGCATCTACATCATCCATCTAGTCTACCCATATCAGCCAGCTAACAATCTCCCCTCCCCCTATATTTACCCAATGCTGGTGCTATCCCTTTTCCTTTGTGCTCCTCGGCCCCACCACTTTTTCGGTACGTAAAATGACCCATTTCTTGATCCCCGTTTTCGCATTTGCCCCCGGTTCTAAACCCCCCATTCTTTCTGGCTTGATCCCCCACGGTTTCCTTTCGTAATAAATTGATTTGTGTTGCATTTTCGCGTTCGGCTTCTTACCAAAGAGCAAAGTAGCAAAGTGTTTCTTCGATATTGTCGGCGTCCAAATATCGGGCACAATGGTTTCATGCATGAGCAACTGCATGGAACTTTTGAAATAACACCTGCTTGGTTCGTGGAGGGAATGGGACCTTCGTGTTGAAGGGGAGACTGACAATTTAACGCCCCTTCACGTCTTTTCGCCCCTCCGGTATTTAACGCCCCCCCCAAATGACCGTGAAAAGGGCGTTATTTACAGGAAAAAGCCCTTTTTGCAGGGCGTAATTTACAGGAGTGCGTGAAGGGGCGCGAAACGTTGTTAAATACGGTTGCCGGGCGATTTTGTGGCGAATTTTCCTGCCCGTGTTCCCAAGCCAAAGATCGATTTTCTTTATTTTCGGCGTTAATCCTACTATATATAAAAAATAGTGTGTGTGTGTGTGTGTGTGCCACTTTGCATCCACTTCCGTCTGTCTGTCCGGAGGATATCTCAAGAAGGGACGGGTGTTAGGCTACGTATGATACGTCATTAGGTGTGTAATGGTGTCGGGATGACTGCACACATTTCAGATTTTTAAAAATTAGCCATTTTCACTATTAAATTTAGGGTTTTGTAAAATCTCTTTGTTAGGAATAATTAGCATAGTCCGGAAGTGGGCGGTCGTCTATATAAAGAGGCAGAAGGGGTTGTTTTTCATTTTTTTTTTGTCTTCTGAATGAAGGACAATTATGCAAAGGGCGGAATAGCATGGGGTCCAAGACGGGGCCAGCGTTTGAAAAGTCGCGAAGCGGCTTTTCAACCCTGGTAAATGAATTAAAATCAGTATAGGCTAGTAGAGGCTTCATCCACGTTATGATTTGCAAATGAGGGGTGATTTTGACATTTGCTGGTTTTTTTAAAGCTTTGAACGATGCTCGGTTGATGACAAGGAATGAATTTTTATGCATGGCAACCAAATTACAAAAGAATAGCAAAAGAACAGGACCATTTCCGCACGACTTTCCACCCCCCCGGCCCCCGCGAGAGGAATTCTATGATTTTTCCAGAAAGAAAGAAACATAGCGAAACCTAGGGCAGGCTAGTAGAGATTCTGTGAGGAATAACGAGAGGGAGGCAGACTAGTAGAAATTCTTTGAGGAATGCAGAGAGAGGGGACAGGCATTTTTTACTTTTTTCAAACCATTTTCTTCCGTTTTTGAAAATAATCAAAATTGGTCCCCACCCGCGAACCCTAAACAACAAACAATATGTTTTCGTTTGGTGGTGGAGTTCGATAAATTTATCAGCAACAGTAAGATTACGTAACGCGTTCTGGTGGCCGTTTGTCGACGTCGACGTCGGCTGGCAAAAATGCAGTGGCTTGATTAAATGGGGTGATCCTTGGTCGTGGAGATTGGGCGTGGCCAGCACCGTCGGAGCGTCGCCACCGCTCTACGGTTGCGCATCTGAACTAGTGGATTTGCTATCATAACAACGAAATTCATAATCTCTAAGGCTAAAAAGAGTCTTTTTAAAAAAGGGCTTTTGGTTTTTCGCAAAAAGAGAGGAATTCTCGTGGTAACAAAGAGAGCTAAATTCCTTTCAAACTCTGAAAAATGCCACAAAATGCGGGAACAACAAAAAGTTGCTGGCTTTTTAAAACCTTAACCAGGGTTGAAAAGCCGCGTCGCGGCTTTTCAACCCTGGCCCCGCCTGATCCCATGATCTTCTCCAATTTGCATAATTTTCGCGATTGTCGATGACAAAAAAAATTGAGAAACGCCAGCTCTCTTCTCTTAAATAGGCTACCGCAACTTCCGGCGTATGCAAATTATTTCCTAACAAAGAGGGTTATCGATTTTTCAAAAAAAAACTTAATTTTAAAGTCAAAAACAACGAATTTTTGACAATTTTATGAGTGTGCAGTCATCTCAAGACCATTACGCACCTGATGAGGAATAAAACATACCCCTTAATACCCCCCCTTATTGAGATACTGCTGGAACACGCTGACGGAAGTTGCACGCAAATGCACACACACACACAGGAACTATTTTTTATATATAGTAGGATAGTAGGATAAACTCGCTACCATCCCAGATCACAGGTCAGGTCCACAGATTAATTTCAAGAAGGTGTCAAATTAGTGATGGGGTTATTCAAACCAAATCTTGAGTCAAATCTGAGAGCTCAAATCTGAATATTTGAATGCAAAATTTTCAATTTCAAATCGGCGGATTTGATTTGAGTCTCAAACCCAAAGGGGTTGGCGGGCTACGCCCGCTTACCCCGATGTCGAATTTTTTTGCCTAGGTTTTGTGGTTTTGCCGGGAATATTAATATGCTAAGAGATTTTTTACAACGCGCAAAAATGTGTTATAAAGGATTTATAGGCTAAAAACTATTTTTGAAAACTATGGGCAGCACATAGGATACGGGGGAGGAACAGATTTTCGGCGTTTTGAATATTTTCGCGATTTTGAAAATTCCATTGGATAGAGGGCCGAAAAATATACTCGAAGCTTTTTTTAAAGCCCGAAAAAACCATCTGGGTGGGTAACCAGATGGAAAATCCGCGAAGCTGTTTTTTAACCCTTCAACCATCCCTAATCTCAACACGAAATGTGAGGATATAGTGCTACATAACTGCCAAACCTTGTTGATTTGCAACAGTTGGGCATAGATCTGGGCACTCGATTGATAGTTCTGGGCGATGATCACGTTGGCACTGGTCGGCTTACAAAGCGGGTCGAAGTCGTCTTTTGAAAACTTTGGCAGATGATCCATTTGGTAGATCTGGAATGGATCGAATGTCTCTCGGTTCTGGACTATTAGCGGGGGACTAAGGAGAGAGAGAGAGAGAGAGAGAGAGAGAGAGAGAGAGAGAGAGAGAGAGAGAGAGAGAGAGAGAGAGAGAGAGAAAGAGCCGGGGCCGTGACACGCAAAACGGTTCTGGGCTGTTAGCGGGGGGACCAAAGAGAGAGAAAGAGAGAGAGAGAGAGGGAAAGAGGAGATAAAGAGAGAGGAGAGAAAGAGAGAGAGAGAGATAGAGAGAGAGAAGAGAGAGCCGGGGCCGTGACACGCAAAACGGTTCTGGATTGTTAGCGGGGGGGGGAACCAAATTTTTCCCGGCGACTCTCTACGGTCCTATAACCAAATCTAAACCATTTTCATAGCATTTGACATAGTTTTTGGATCTAAGCACAATATAAACATAGGTGAAAGTTGTTACCCCCCCCGCTAACAGTCTAGAACCGGATGTCTCTTTCTCTCTCTCAGCCTCGCTCACTCTCTCTCACTCTCCCTCTCACTCTCTCACCTGAATATCATTAGCTGGTGGCGACTTCTCCAACTTGTCCAGCAACGTCTCCATCCGTTCTTCATGGCCATAAATCTGGAAGACGGGTTCCATGCCCTCCTCTTCGTCACACCAGTCATCTAGAGCATTCTTTTTTTTAAACTAGCAATGCTTTGAATGCTACCGTAATCCCGTTTGCCCCCGTGTCAGGTTGCAGGGGTGCAACCAAGACAGTGGGACCAGATTGTACCTTTAGCCGATTAAATTGAGTTTCTTGACCGAAAAAGTGTAATCTTCTCATGAACATGCCGAACGGGGGTTATGTTCATTTTTCCTAAAAATCATTTTTCCTAAAAGTCATTTTTCCCAAAAAATCATTTTTCCTAAAGTTCATTTTTCCTAAAATTTTTCATTCAATAGGGATGCGTAAAAATATCAAGAAATTCCAAATGCTATCATTTTTAGCAGTATTTGTTTAGTTTGGTTATTAGTAGGCTTTTATCGAAAATCTTTCTTATTATCATTGATCCTTTTCACTTCCAACCACCCAAATCTAGGCTAAACGCGCAACTAAAATACTTCCTATGATCACTCTAGGCAGATCTGACCTTATTCTAAAAATTTTCTATTTTCTCATGCATAGTACTAAAGAACTAGACCTTTACGGTATTTCACCGGTTTTAGGAAAAATGAACTTTAGGAAAAATGATTTTTAGGAAAAATGACTTTTAGGAAAAATGATTTTTAGGAAAAATGACTTTTAGGAAAAATGACTTTTAGGAAAAATGACTTTTAGGAAAAATGATTTTTAGGAAAAATGACTTTTAGGAAAAATGACTTTTAGGAAAAATGATTTTTAGGAAAAATGATTTTTAGGAAAAATGAATTTAGGAAAAATGAGTTTTAGGAAAAATGACTGGAATTCGCCGAACGGGAATCTATTAAAATCTCGAAAATCAGAATCTCGAATTTTCATAACCTCGAATTTTCAGAATCTCGAAATTTCCATGAATCAACATTAAAGTCTCCAGAAATTGCACGCCTACGCCCTGAATCCAGCATAGGCAGCTTTCGAGATTCTGAAAATTCGAGATTCTGAGAATTCGAGATTCTGAAATATCGAAAAATTAATCCTACTATCCTACTATATATAAAAAAAATAGTGTCTGTGTGTGTGTATGTGTGTGCATTTGCATGCAACTTCCGTCAGCGTGTTCCAGTAGTATCTCAAGAAGGCGCGCGGTTAGGGGTATGTTTTATACATCATTTGGTGCGTAATGGCCTTGGGAAGACTGCACACTCATAAAATTTTTAAAAATTTGCTGTTTTCGACGTTAAAATTAAGTTATTGTTGAAAAATCTGACACCCTCTTTGTTAGGAAACAATTAGCATATTCCGGAAGTTACGGTTGCCTATATAAG